TGAAAATCACTATAGTGAAAAGCTAGAAGACACTAGGGAGATTGCGCTTACAAGATTTCACAAAGATATAACAGTTGGGCTACGAGATCTATCTACTCAAGTTTCATGGTTTAAGCAAGTGAAGTCTAATATAAGTTCAAGCAACTGATTCTCCTAGTTGATGCATTTATTTCAAGATCACGTCAGTGAGAAGTTGAATCTGATTATAGAGATTCAGAATTTTAGGAAGATCAAATGGTGGAGGAAGGAGATCTAAGTATTTGAGTCCTTGGCTTGTTGCTTAGACTTATCCTTCATTACTCCACAGTTCTCTTTTCAGAGGTTTGGAGGCATGCTCCATAAACAGTGGTGAGCTTTAGCAAGGTGATGGAGACTCTCCTCATCCCCAAGACTTGTAAGGTGATTCTTGCCAAGGATTGGGAGTTTGAAATAATGGTGTTGTGCATGACCTTGCTTCAAGTTTATCAGTTTTGATGACTTCTTAAGGAGGTGATTCTTCTTGTGAGCTTCTTCAAGGTCAATAATGGAGGGTTGGAAACAAAGCTTCCCATGTGAGGAGGATTCCATCACCAACACTTTGGTAAACCTTTAGCTTCACTTCTAGCTCCACTTTGAGGCTTAGAAATTTATATCTCACAACCTTGCCTAAAAAGTGTTGCATAGTACCTAAGATAAGTGGTGTCCTTGGACATAAACACAGACTTTGATTGCTTTAGCTTTAAACTAATTTTTTGCAATCAAATATAGATCATCTTTTATATCATATTACACTGTTGTAAGTAATATTGAAGTTGTCAATATCATCTTTCATCTAGTGTATAGATTGTGAGCAAACATTTATGGATCTCAAAGAGCTATTGACGATTCCTCTAGTTTTAACATATCTTAATTACACTCAACCTTTTATTTCGCACGTGGATGCTTATTATATTAATCTTGGAGGTGTGTCGATGCAAGAGAGCTCAAGTATGTTTAGTCAGTGCTATCCCATTGCATATATCAATTGTACATTACAACCAACGAAAGTGAACTACTCCATCATATAGAATGAGGGTTTAGTAGTAGTTTGGGGTTTTGAGAAATTTCATGCATATCTACATAGTTCTTAAATATTTAAAAGGCGATCATACTATAGTTATTTCACTATTGAAGTAAAACTTGGTTGAATATATTGCTTGGTGGGTTTTAAAATTTCAGATATATAATTTTGATGTTATTCATCACTAGGGGAGTTCTATGGTTGATATTGATGCCCTTTCTCAAGTTCCTCTTCCTTCTTCACTCTCTTCTCATGTTTCTGACAAACTTGTTATTTTAGAATTTATGGATTTTTTGGACAAGGATTCCATGTTGTTGGCAGTTGTTGTACTTGATGTTCAGTATATACAAGGTGCAAAGCAAGATTTACCTTCTATTGATAAAGTTTGTGAGGCTCAAAATTTTAAATAATGGATCCAAAGGCTTTATGATGGGTTTGAAAATTTTATATCATTTGTTACATCACTTGTTGATGACTTGCTATTTAGACATTTACAGTTTTAATATCCCTTTAAAGATAATTTTCTTTATTTTGTGGAGATAATTCTAATTATCATTTACAGCTAATGGTACCTTTAATCTTTATTCCACACTTTTTCTATGTCTACTATGATTTTCCTATTCTATGTAAACATATAGAAATTATCATATGATTAAGAAGCTATACAAGTTTTTCTATTGGCCAAAGATGCAACATAATATTATTTAGTATATGTGTAGTTGTGTTTGGTGCCAAATTTATAATACTCCCCCTTATGTTGTGGAAAGACAGTTAAAGTCAATTGTAATATCCCATCCATTTAAGTTAGTGGCATTTAATTTGATAGGATCTTTTCCACAGTCGACTACTAGCAATAAATATGTCATTATTATTTTTAACTACTTGACTCATTGGGTGGAAGTTAATGCTTTTGCTAGTGCATCTGCAACTACTATTGAATACTTCTCAATCAAGTAGTATTTCAGCATTTCTATCTGGTGTGAATTCTTTTGAATAATGATCTTGCATTTATAGCTAAGGCATTTTGCATTTTAACATCTAAATTAAAGATACACCATACTTTCACAGGTGTTTATCATTCATAGTCAAAGGGTTTAGTGGAACAAGTAGTTTAGACCTTCAAAGGGATAATTGCGAAGTACATGAACTTTTAACATTCGAATTCAGATAATTATTTACCGTCTCTTTGATATGCATATATCATAGATGTGCAAAGTTTTGTTGATGCTTCACCATATAAATTCTTATATGATCATGATCCGATACTACCAACGGAGTTGAGTTTGCTTTCGCAATTGCCACAAGCTGCCAGTATTTAATGAGCATTCTTCCACTAATTTAAGTAAAGTCTGCCAAACACTAAGAACTCATATAAGTGGGATGACAATGGTGCTATAATTCTCATTATCGTCCATTTTAAGTATAAAATAGATGATTTTGTGTTAGCCCATTTTCCTAATCTTATGATATGTAATTTTTCTAAGGGGCTCTTTGCTCAAGGGAAGGGACCATATCAAGTGTTGTAGCAAATTAGACCGTAAGTTTATAAGGTTCAGTATGACATTCAATAAGTTGATCCTTCAAAACTTGTGTATATGCAACAGCTAAAACACTTCATACAAAAGGATCTAGAACAAATAACACCATTTATAAATTTATTGATGCCTCCTCCTAATGTTCTTCTAGACCTCGGCCCATCGACTAGAGAATTCTAACTTTCCATCATTCTAAGAATAGGGGATGGTGTGAAGTCTAAATTTACAGCTATAATGCTATATACTAACATTAGTATAGTGGGAATTTAGTAGTTATTGGATTAGTTTTAATTTAGACCACTCGCTCCTATATTAGGTTTTTGGGCTAATTGATATGTAAATTTCTGTATTCCATTTCCATATTTCATGCACTCACAGTGCCTAAATTTAATTAAAATCCAAGTTTAGTATATTTTATCTAATTATTAAACTATTAGAGTAATTATCAAACACAAGTCTTTCTTAAATATTTATTTTATAAGCTAGTTATAACATCTTATATTATAACTCATGAGTTGTAAAATGTAAAACTATTGGTATGGTTTTATTAAGGATAATTGACATATATGCAAACTTTAAAGCATTGTGTAATATTACTTTAAAGTAAGAAATAATAATTGCTACTAGCAATGCTTTTCTTGCTTAATAGTAGTTCTTATTATTTATTAATCCAATTGAAATCTATAATTATAAACACATTTATAAGTTTTAAGAAAAAACTTTTTCTTACTATATAATAACCTGTAAATAGTATAATAAACTAGAATATACAATAAAATGCTTAATAATTATAAATTATAAGTACAAGATTATTCTTGATAACAATAAATGGTAGAATATCCCAGAATATACAAGCATATTTTAGGTGTATCCACCTTTAGCCCGCTTGGTGTTATATAATTCCAATTAAAAATATTATTACAGTCTATAGTACGTAAATAATAAATATTCAAGCATAGAATTTAATAATCAGTTCAATTATATTTTAATGTTATAAATTAAAGCAAGGTGGAGAAATATAAATAAGCAGAAGGCTTCAAAAGCATGTATTGGATTGTCAGTCTCTAATTCCATCAGAATACATTAATTCGTAATCTAGGGATGTAAAATAAATTTAAAAAACATAAATAAAAATTATTGGTTTTAATAGTTTTACTGAAAATAATAAATTGTGTATTTCTTACCAATTCTAATGAACCCTTAGAACTGAAATCCTACAAAGTCATACAAATAGGCTCTTGTCCTTTGAGGTGATTGTGTCTAGTTGAGTGCTAGTGATCTTTAAACATGTTATAATAATAATGTCACTAGGTTGACATTGCAAGACCTTAAAAAAAATTAATAATAATAATATTAAAAAGTAGATTGTGGACATTATTATAAGATAATTTACTGCCCTAAGCTGCAATTTCTTTGGGATTTTGTAGTTTCAGTCTTTATAAAATTAACTTCATAAGTAATCTATTATTTATATAATTTTATAATAATATTATCATATTTATTTTAAAATTATTTATACTATTTTATTTATATTATTCCTCAGTTAAGACAGTGAGCTGATAGAATTCCTTGAGCCTCTCTTGTGGAGATGGAGGCCATGTCTCTGTTCTTAGGGAAAAAAATAAGCAATATAAACTCCTATTTGCAATGTTAGAAAGCCAGTCACATGTTCAGCTTTAGACAAAACGGGGCTAGTGTGATCCAGACAAGGCACTTAGATCTTGATCTAGCAGCAGCATCGGGATGCTCATTCCTTAATCAGTTCTCCAAGAATCAGTCAGCACTAGAGTGGGCCATAGAAAAAAATGTGACCTGACAAGAGTGGTGATGAGATCAGGAATATTTAAGTTTTTTGAGAATGGCCTCAATCACCACATATCTTCTCTGCTGCTGGTGGCTACAACATCCTTTGCGAGCTAACAAGTTCTCTCATTTCTCTCTCACTTGATGGGGGCCCGGCAGCACATTACAACGACACCTTTGTAATGTGGCCAGCTTTGAGCAGCGTTGGCAGGAAATGCAGGCGCGAGAGCTCAAGGGTCTTTGAGTGGGATAGTTCCAGGTTGACGAAGTCACTCTTCTGTCTCGGTGCCCGAAAGCGTAGATTTCACTGAAGTCGAGCCTCCCGTTCTTGAGCGTCCCAACCTTCACGACAGGACCAGAGAAAAAAGTTTGGTGGAAGCGGTGATCAGTATGGATACCTTGTCACCGATTTGGAGCTGGCTCATCGTCTTCGTCTCGCCCGTGGAAGTTTGCACCGTTGCATCGCGTGGGAAGCACGCCCTCACGCACAGCAGCCGCGCCAAGCCCAGCACTCACCAAGCAAGAATCTTCGAGCTGCCTGATCTGCCTGATCGCTGGAAGCGTTTGCGAGGAACAGACGAGTTCCAAGCGCTTGTTGTAGATACTGTCCACGTCACTGCCAGTCATGTACACGCCACAGCCACTTCCTCCAGCGTTACTTGGGCAAACAATCTGGTAAGCAGCAGTGAATTTTGTTACTGCAAGATAATCACATGGAGCTCGCTAAACTTACAGCACTCTTGCGGCCATAGTTGTCTGTGAACACGAACTGTGTCCCGGATGAATCTGGAGCCACCGGTTGCGACCATCTTTCCAGTCGTCAGCATGAGAAAAAACCAAGGTACTTGTCACCTTTAGCTTGAGGTCCTCGGATCCTCCCCAGTCGCCATCTATCTTGGCAGTGTATTCCTGCCTTCCAGTCTGGGAAATCTTCTGGCAGACGTTGGTGATTGCACTCGCGGGAACCGAGCCCCAAAGCATTGCGGGAGTCTTTGATGCGAGAAGAGACGACGCGATCTCATCGCCAGTGGTTCCAATGAAGGTGTTCGGCTTGCCTTTGGTGAGGCCGGGAGTCGTAGCTGTGAAACTCAAGTCTTGCGCATTGCAAACGCTGGAGATCACAGCAACAAGAATAAACGTGACGAAACTCGTCATTCTTTCTCTCCTCTATAGACTTCTTTTTCCAACTCTAAGCTTGGATCCTTGCTTATAATCTTTATAAATGCTGTGAAGTCCTTGTCATCTCACACTAATCAAACTTTATTTATCGATTAACAAAGTTTTAAAAGCACTGCTACACATGAAAGAGCTAAGAATATTGCGTTATACTTGAAGATCTCGCGTCTGTAGGTCCTGCTTATGTGTACGAGAGATGAGAGAAGGCCTTTAAATCGATCGATCTTGTCCGTTTGAAGATGATCATGTATGTGACGGCAAGAAAAATTAATAGTTTCATCACAGGCAAAGAATCAAAGCTATTCATTGGCATCTTAGTCATGCATTGCTGAAAAGAAAATAGAGACTAGTAAATTCCTTTTGAAAAAGCCCGCGAGACGCAGTGAGGGCATCGAACATAACGAAGAACAGGGTGGGCAAATTGTGGCATAGATCATTCCTAGGTCCCCCTCCGGATATCATGCTTCCTGTGTCACCGCGCACCTAGCATTACCAGCATTCTCTTACCTTTCAGATCCTGTTGACGAAGGTATGAAGAACCTCACCCTTCAGGGTTTTGAAGTGTAGCAATACCATCATGCGGCAAAGAGATCTGTGCTTTAGATGCTTGTCCGTGATCAGGTGCCTCGAGGAGTAGCTCCAGTCTTGGGCATTTCATGTAGGAGGTTGAATGATGAAGCTTCCCGCTTTCAAGAGATAATTTCACGCAAAGGAAATGGATTAACCAGAAGAGAATGGTGCAATGAGCACGTCACCATCTTTGCAGAACTTTAAATCCCTTTGGGAGAGCTACACAAGAGTTTCTATCCATCTGAAGGATGTACTTTATTTTCCTGAAGGTTCACATCAGAAATAAGCCGGGGAGAGGGTTTTAGAAACACACAGTTACAAACACCTCAGTTAAACAAGTTTTCAAGTTAAAAAGGTGGATCCATTTCAGCATAAATCTGATCCTCATCCAGAGGAAATCATATAAGAAGGGTCAGAATAATGTCAAGGGAGAAGGAAAGTACGGGATTTTTCCTTGCATGGCTTCTGGCTTGCTTTCTTCGTCAAGGAGATCATGAGCAATCTGGAATTTGCTACTTTGTCAATGTATCAGTTCCTTGAAATGTTGGAACTAACGCCAAAGTTTTCAACGTAGATGATCTTTAAGGACATGGAGGAAATCAGGAAAAGAGGAGGCAAGTGGCCACTCTATTAACTATATAGAAATAGTAATTAATATATTACTAACTATGAATAATTATTAATATTACTAATATATCTTTTCACAAGTAATTATTAAGAATAAATTTAATATTACAATTAAAATAACACAGTTCTAGTATGTATATTAGTAAAAAAAATTTATTTTTGATATTTCCAAATAAGTAATACTTTGAATGTAATATCAATAATATTATTGTTTAGTAATGTTTGTAGGGGAAATATCTAAATATATTCATATATCCAAGTAAAGACTAATATTTTTATCTAAAATATATTTTAATAATTATTATTTTTATTAATATTTGTTTTACTTTAGTCTGGTTCTAAGTAATAATACATTGGTGTTCTTTAAATTTTATTATTTTAAATATATTTTATAAAATATAAATTATAATTAATTTTATCTGATGTATATATAAATATAAATATAAATACATATATACATATATATACACATATACATATACACACATATATATATATATACATATATATAGATATATATATACATATATATACATATATATACAGATATACATACATACATATATATACATATGTATACATATATACATGTATATGTATATATGTATATATACATATATATCTATGTGTGTGTGTGCATGTCTATTACAACAGTACTGTTTAACTGGATATAGTGAGTTATGAACCCAGAAAAATAACATATGTATCAAAAGTACAATATTTTACTAAATCCAAGTTTTGATAGAATTATCTGTAAACAACAAAGTATCTAAGTAAACACCAGCATTGTGTTGCCATGTCCTGAGATGGAAAATGTTGTCTTGGTTGCATTGGTCATAAACCAAATTCATTCTTTTGTGACAAAGCAAGTTTTGGCTGCCTAATTAAATATTGCTTTAGTTTAAAGTGAATTTAACTATATACATTTTTTTCTGTATGGATAGTATATAAACTATTTTAACACAAGAACTTCTAATGTTATTATTCTGAGTCTGGGTAGAATATACTTTTGAATTAAGTAGTAATGTTTTAGATCTTTTCATGCTACTCATGAAAAGAGTACTTTCAATACTATAAAATGTTTGTATCACATAATTTTTATTTTCCTAAATATTCAATCAATGCTGATTCAAGGATTTGGTAGATATTTATATTGATAAACGACTTTTCTTAGTAATTATTTATTACTTTTGTATAGGTCTGGGTAGTGACCTACATTTTCCTGCAAAATATATTTTATAATTATTATTCTTGGTGTTGTTTAATGTGTACTATATATAATATTTGGTTTAGTAGTGTACCCTTTTAGTATGGCTTAACATATCAAGATAATAAAAATATCTAAAATAATAATCATTTTTTATTAACTAATTCCACTACATATCTCCTGCAATACTAGTTAGTAATAAGCGAATTAAACCTTGATTTTGAAGTTATTTGTATGTGTTTTAAAGAAATGCTAAAAGCCATTGAATACTAGAATATTCATGAATATTCTAGGTATATTTCTTAAACTCTAAACAGAAATCTTCAGTTCGGGAGTTTTATCTTAATGGCTGTTAGCATTCTTTTAGTTTGAGGGTCCACTGGCGCAAGGCGAGAAGAAGGGCTTTGAGACGGGTTCTAGTGTCCGGATCCACGAGATTCCCGTCCGAGTCGAACTTTGGCGGCGCTTGAAACGCCGCAACAAACAGCTCGGGCTTGTTGATGAAATGGAGGTCGAGGAAAACTCCCACCTGTCGCAGATGATATTGGGCTCTGCCGCCTCCAAACCCGCCCCCAGCGCTCACGATTGCGGCTGGCTTCCCGGCCCACGCATTTGGATTCCTCGACGCCCAATCCAATGCGTTCTTGAGTGGAGCTGCAAGCAACAAACAAGAACATAAAATGCGGAAAGAAATCAAGAAAGAGGACAAAGAAAAACTGTGAGAGCGCAAAGAAAAGTTCCACCTGTGATGGAGTAATTGTACTCCGGGCTTGCAAACAGCACAGCGTCCGCCCCAAGGACTTTAGCTCGAAAATCCTCCACGACCCCCGGAAATTGCCCGTCTTGCTCCAAGTCCGTGTTGAGGAAAGGGAGCTGGGAAATGTCCACATGCTCTAGCTCCACATCTTCGAAGCTCTCCTTGACAATCTCGCGTGCTACAAGCAGCAACACAATTACCAACATAGCTAAAACAAAGATCTTACCTGCGCGTACGAGACCACTGTTGAAAGAGCCCTTCCTCAGAGACCCGGAAACGGCGATCATCTTGAGATTTCCGCCTCCCATGGCCGCCGCAGCAGTGGTTGTCGATGCAAATCTCTTGCTGCTGCTGGGGATCCTAGCTCCTGCCGTGGCAAATCTCACCACTTGGCTCATTCTCTCGATTGAAATAGTAGGAAAAGAAAGAGAGCGCCTTACTTGTTGGACGAGGGCCAGTCGCTCCAGTGGTCAAGCTTAGAATATCACCGCCGCCTTTATAAACTCGCTCACCTATTCTAGATCCTTCTCAGCACCCAAGAGCTCACGCTTTGCTTGTAAAGACGGGTTCTCCTGACATGAGCATGACATAAAAGCTTTTCACTTTCATTAAACTTCGTGTGAAAATCATAGAGCTGATCCTGCACATCAAGGGCTTGAGTTAGAAGCGATAATTTTTGTGAAGAACTTACGCACAGAAATTAGCCGAGGGAGTCGAGGTGAGCTTGCAGTTCTGTAATGCTGATGATAGGGAAAGTTTTGATATCGTCTTGACTATACTCTGCCTCGACGATGTTAAGCACCTGAGAGTAAGCCTCCACAACGTTGGATCTGGAAAGTTAACGCTCATTAGCACAAAGCATGGAGAACGCTTGTTGCATAGGTTACTTGATAGGCTTCAAAAGAATGGAGCGGGTATATGGATTTGGCAGATAAAGGTTCATCTTGGATATCACATTTGGTAGCTCCTCCTTGAGGGAACAGTCCACCTATAAGACAAGGTAAGAATCTAGAAAAGAATTCAGATGTAATGACGGGATACCTTAGAAATCACTTCCGCAACCTTTTCAGGCGTTGCAAATGCCTGATCCTTGAGAGCTCTGTTGGCTGAGACAGAAACTCTTACGGCTGTGACCTGCTCGTAATAGGCCCCCTTGATCGACGAAAATTGCAACTGGAGAAAAACTCACCTTAGTCACGAAAGACAGCATGGGCTCGACAGTAAGTTTCGTTACGGACATGATGAACTGTTCGCAAGTAAGCTTGAGGCCCTTTTCAAGTTCCTGTAACACAGAAAGCGTCAGCAAAACACTGCAGCAAGGCAAACGGACACAACCTTTTTGGCATCCACTTGATTTTCCAGGACTCGAGGAGAAAATGTGCGGGCCAAACTTGTTCTACTTGTCAAGTCGAATACTGATGCTTGGCCTCTGAGAATACGGCGTAAATGGTCCTTATGAACAGGCACCTTCAGAAAAAAACTACAAGAGTTTCTTTCAATATACTCACGAGAACGTGTGCAAAATCAAGCTCCTTGTGAGTTACGGCAAAATCAATATCGAATGGAGTGATCTGTAACCAAGATGATCAGTCATGCAAAACTTAAGGATCTAACGCACCTGCTCTCTCAGTACTAACAAATGTTTGATCAAGAAAAGCTGACCATCCATTTCAGACGACTTCTTGACAACGAGTTTGCTGCCACGCTGAAAGAGATAGCAAGTGCATGAGTTTTTTAAGATCAAGTAGAATTCATGCCTGAATTGCCGCTGTACAGGTTCCCACAGCTTCCTGTAGATAATTGAGTTGCCATTTTCTCACACGAATGAGAAAAGCATTACCTGCGCGAGCCCAGTAAATATTGTAGGTTCAAGACACCGGTAAAGTTTTGAAAGGCACGCTAAGGTCTTCACCAGAGGAGGGTAAAGCCCGTCCATTCCTTCCGATATGGCTCCTTCCTGTCGTCAGAGAATAAGATGAAAGTAAACAAAAAACTTTAAAACCTCTGAAGCGCTGGATTCACTTTGTTTCACTAGTTTTGCAGGATAGTCGAGGTCTTCTGCCAGTGGCAAGTAGTTCGCAACCTACGTGATAAAAAGTTATCAGCACGGGGATATTTTCACCGGCAGTTCAAGGCCTACCTCGTTTCGCACGTAGGTTTGCACTCTAAATGTAAGCCTTTCTTGAACATCAGCTAGGATTCGCATTATTGTTGGTCTGAGGCCGGCAACAGGATCTCCCTTTCGGTTAAGTTGCTCCTCAAGAACTTCAAACTTCAAGATATCAACTAGCTCGCAGAGGAGATCTATTCTTGTCTCGTGTATGAACTTAGGCCGCAATGCATCATATAGGACGGTGCATCTACAAATAAATATCGGAATGTTTTCCCCGACAACAGCTAGAAACAGAGAACTTACAAAGGCTCAGTAAGAGAAGCAAGTTTTGAAGCTTCGGATGACGAGGATGGAAAGAAGTGAACAAAGAGCTGATGCTCGAACTGGCAAGCCTGGAGCACAAACCAAGTCAGGTCGTTCAATATGCAAAACGCAGACCTGCATGAGGTATGCGCAACCCGATCTAGTGAAAGGTGGTAATTCTTCTCTTTTAGAGTATTCCGAAATCCGTTGTTGTACAACGCCTTGCACCTGTGACAAAAATGCCAGCATAACGTGTTTCAAGTTGACCAAACACTGATCGAACCAAGAGCAAGCGCTGTTCACAGTAAAGTGTTTGACAGTCCGAAAGGAATAACGCATACTCCGTTAGTTTCGTTCTGCTTTCAAGCGCTTCCATGAGAGGCTTCATCTGTTAAGGACAATGAAGAACACCTAGCTGGGACGAAGAAAAAAAATCACCTCACTTGCTGCTGCCTTAAAGCGTACATATAGAACAGAGGTCTCGATTCCTTCGGATAAAGCAGTCCCCTCTTTGAGGGCAGCTTGCACCTGTTCGTCGGTAAGAACCTCAAAATATACAAACACAAATACCTGCGCTGTTGTTTTCTTCATCACGGATTGGACGTGAGAGCGCATCATTCCTATTGCCCTTGACTGAAAAACTATTACGGCTGATCTCCTGATATTTCAAAGAAACGGCTCACCTGTAACTGCTTAAATTTTAGCAGATAGACACCAGAGTCGGCATATTGCGGATTGCTGCTTATGAAAATTATGCAGTCGTCCAGACGTTTGAGTAGCAAAGGGAACTGCTCATTATCTACGCTCATGGCTGCTGAATAGAACTGTGTAGCAATCTGAAAATTGAACAGATCAGAGAAGAGGCAAAAAAAAATAAAAAATAAAAAAAAACAAGAGAAAGAGCTCAAACGTACGGTTTCCAGTTCGTCAAAGTAGACGAGTTTGCTTTTAAGTGTATTTGCGAATTCAGCAAGCCTATCTTTCTCCAAAACCAGCCGATCACAAGAATCATGAAGAGTTTTTGTTTTGGTGGCCACAGCTTGATGTTGCATTTGCAAGTCGTCGAAAAGAAGCAAGGTGTCATCCAGCTGCTCACACATTTCCACCTATGAACCTCCCATGAAAAAATGGAAAACAATTTACCTGCTCAAGAATACCATCACAAGTGTTCAGATGGCCGGTGAGAGTGTTCACATACTGGCGATACTTTTCTTCAGTCTAAACAAGCATGGTTTGGAAAACGAACAATGCATACAAGCAAAATCTACCTCAGATTTCATAGCAGACTCTAGATCCGAGTACCACTTGTAGAAATCTGCCGCTGCATGACCCAGTTGCTCGTCGATGTGAGGAGCATCCTGGCATCGAGATTAAGCGAGTAAAGAAAAAGGTAGTTCAGCTAAACTTCACCTCCTTTCCAGATGATCCGGTAAGATGCGAAGGCAAGGGCCGATCTGATGCGACTTGAGCCAATGCAGCTATGGCGGCATGTTGCTCGTCGCTCAAGGGCGCATTCTGTTTGGAAAATTTTCGAATCAGGGGCAGTGGCAGAAGGGGACGGCCCTTACCTCTTCCCAGGAAGATCCAAAGTTGTATGCTCGAGCGATAGTGGGAGCCAACGCCATAATTCCCAAAACCCTAAAATGGTGCCTGGAAAACAAACAAAAATTAAAACATAGCAATGGTATCACCTTAAAACGATTTTAAGCCACTGAGAGGACGACTTGGATTGTTACGTCCCAAAGTAAGTGGAGCGTACGCGGGAGCAATCTTCGCACCGGATTTCCCTCGTCGTTCCAACTGAAAGCCCCCCGAGTGAGAAACGTCGAGGCATGACAGCCAATGAAGTTTGGCATCACTCACTTTTGACGAATTTTAGGAACGGGTGGCCGAGGAGCAGTCCCAGTACAATGCCCCTCGTGCTCGCTGCTGCGCACTTTGTCCCTGAGCTCTTGAATGTCGTGAGCACGATATGTGGTAAGAGCATCTTGCAGCTTGAATCTTCTGCAACAGGAGCGAAGTTAGAGAAAAAGCGACACTTTCGAACCTGCAAGCAGGATTTTCCCGGTGGAGCCCAAGTAGAAAGGGATGCAGTACTAGAAGGGGATAATTACTTTGGAAGCTCTCCCGGAAAAACATTGTCCTTGCTTTTTTCCGAGCGGACGGAACTTTGCGAATCACCCACGGCGCTCGTTGACAAAATGAGCACTCGTTGCCAAGCGTAGCAATAGGCCTGTGCAAGCATCCAAATTGGGGTGATTGATAGCAGCCAACGTCCAACTAAGACGCCCTTTGAAATGTCTCCTGCTGATGGCCTATAAGAAAACGAGAATCAACGACGTTCGGCCAAAGTTACCAATTTCCGGAGCACGTTTACGATATAAAACCCGGGAGTGTTGAAGACTCGCTCCACACTTGCCACCAAAATTTTTAGTCTCGCACACCAAGCCAAGCTCGACAACCCAGTTCTGAGTTTGCTGCACGACAAATATCGTTTTCTTGTCAATGAAAGTGTGGCAGCAAAAGCAAAAATTATCCCACCTGACAGCGACTCGGCCTTTGGAGGCTTACTTGCAAACGTAAGGCTTATCACTGGCTTGGCATTACCTTATACCGACAATGAACCAAATCTTCATAGTGGCAGCCAATATTTCATGGCCAGAGGTATGGGCCCCTGCTTAGCATGTGGAGGACCTGACAGTGAAAAATAAACGGGAAAAAGACTAATCAATCGAGAAAGAGGGGAAGAACAATCAGCTCAATCAATTTTCGAGACAAACTATGAAAGTGATCAATCCAATCCACGCGATTACTGTGGAGATTGGCCTAGCAAAGATTGGCCCACCTGGAGAGGATGAAAAAACAATGATCTCGATCGATCGTCTACTCACGCGCGCTCCTTGGCGATGCTTGCCCGCCATGGCTTCCATCCCAGGGCCAGCGTCAAGGAAGCGTAGATCGGAAGAAATCAAGGATGAACCTGGCGCTGCGCCTCGCTCGATCGATCCGCTGGTGAAATATTATTCACCCACAAAGCCCTAAAACTTAAATTTGAGCGGGAATCTCATGACATAAATGGTAAACATCAAACGGTCTAGGTTGCGCCATCGAGTCGCCATTCCGCTGCGAGCATCATTCCGGGAAAGATCTGCGCACTTGGCGGGCAATGCCCCATCCTGGCCGTCGGATCTATCACGAAAGATGTCGCTGATTGCTTGGCTGTTCTAGGAGTAGAGGCTAGAATCGACTTGAGAAATTGCTCTCTTGCGCTTCTTGGGGCGATCTGATCCCGACGATCCCTCGCCGGAGATCTTGTATCCATCGCGCCACGATCGATGGTTCTAGGAGTGCTCGATTCATGGAGCTTAGAGCAGGAAGCTCGCAGTCAGGGGGCTAGGGTTTTTCTGTTTTTTGCGGCTTGACGGCTGGAGGCGCGAGGCTTCCAGCGGATCCAGGAGAGTGATCAGATTCGATTTTGGGTCTACCAGAGCTGCCTCGCAAGGTATCATCGATCCCACACCTGCATTCACTGGAAATTTCGGTCGATTGCAGGCATGAATCATTGTGTTCCCGACTGCGATGAATTTCCAACAGAAAAATCTCAGGAATCGCCAGCAGCAAAGAACAATCCAAAGTTGTGAGTACTCTTTCCAGAATTTTTTTTTTTTTTTTTTTTTTGGTGTGTTGTTCTTGACAATGCTTACACTCTCCACTATCATGGCAGCTGCGAGAACGACTTCTCCGAGTTGATATGGACGAGCGATGGGAGCTTGGGCGTGATGCAAGTCGGCGGAAACAAGAATTCGCAGTGGGTCTCTTCAGGAATCTGGGGTAACAATAGGCACGGCAATGAGGATCGATTGGCACCCTCGAGTAGCAAGCCATCCAGCGACAACAGGATAAAAGATGGAACTTTGGATGCTGTGGTGATCAGCGCGGTCGGGACAGAGACCGTGGCTGCTACTACTGCTGCTGCTGCTGCTTACGAAGAGGATGAATTGATCTCCTGGTTGCAGTATCCGGACGACAATCTGGATAAGAACAATTGCTCAGACATCTTCAGCACTCAGGCTTTGCATGATCAGTCCTCCCAGGTGGCTCCCCGTGATTCGCAACAACAGGCTTCTAGCGGAGCTCCGACGATGGCTAGAACAGGGTCGAGGGACTCAGCTACAGATGGTGTTGTGATTCATCCGGCAGGGGCGTCACAGTGGGCCGATCCGGCGAAAAAGCCTCGTCATCTTGCCATGCTGCCACCCAAGGCTCACAAAGTCAACTCGTCGCTCAACTTCTCACACTTTTCTCGACCGGCCGTGATCGCGAAGGCGAGTTTGCACACGCTTGGGAAGTGTAGTACGAGCATCACGAACCATTTGCAGATGCAGTTTAAGAAGAACGATGCTGCGGTAGCAGTGGCACCGGCGGCTGCGTCCAACGGTGTTGTCGAAGGATCGATTGGCTCGGCTCCCACGCAGAGAAGCGCAGTTGCTCAAGAACAGAGCTCGGAGGCGCAGCAGAGCGTGAGCCAGTCGAGCTTGCCATCGCTGATAAGTTGCACGTCGAGGAAAGAGGCGGCAGGGACAAGGGGGAAGGATTCTCAGCCGAGCTCCAGTGCGACTGCTGCTGATGGGAACGAGCAGACGCTAACTTCGTCCTCAGGTGGATCCGGTCACAGCGCGGACGGAGCCAAGGGAAGCAATGCCAAAGGAAAGAGGAAGGTGAAGAGTGTGGACGAGTCTGCGGACTGCCAAAGCGAAGTAAGTGGTTGTTCTTTGGTGGTGTTTTGAACTTTCGTGTCGGATCTAGGACGTGGAAGGAGAATCGGTTGATGTGAAGAAAGCCCCGCCCGCGCGGACGAGTTCCAAGCGAAGCAGGGCAGCCGAGGTGCACAATCTTTCCGAGCGGGTACGTCGTCTCGGTTGTTCTCAAACGCTTTTGCATGAACGTTTCCTCTCCTGGATCGCAGAGAAGGCGCGACCGGATAAACGAGAAGATGAAAGCTTTGCAAGAACTTATACCAAACTCCAACAAGGTAAGCTCTTTTCAAAGCTTTCTCCCGCTGAGAGACACCACTTTCTCTACCAGACGGACAAGGCATCAATGCTGGACGAAGCGATCGAGTATCTCAAGATGCTCCAGCTCCAACTCCAGGTACTTTCACCTGGATCCAGCAAAGTCTCATCGTAACAAGCTTTCTCTTTGTGTTCCTCGTCTCTTCCAGATGATGGCTATGAGGACCGGCTTGAGCTTACCACCAATGATAATCCCGGCGGGGATGCAGCACTTGCAAATGCCGCAGATGCCAACGCTGGGGATGGGAATGGGTATGGGGATGGGAGTGATGGGAATGGGAGTAATGGACTCCGTCGGGCGACCCTTAACCAGCGGCCCCATGGTAAGCAAGCAAAGCCCGTTCCCATATTTCTCTCCTCGTTCTTTTACCTCACAGTTGAAAGGTTTGCTCTTATAAAACGTGGACTTTGTTGTTCTGTGTTGTCTTGTTTCTTTGGCAGCCACTAAACATGACAATGGACATGTACCATGCGTGTATGTTACAGCAGCAGATGCAGCTGCAGCTACGGCAGCAGATTCAGCAGCAGCAGCAACAACAACACATTCAACAGCAGCAGCAGCAACAAATTCAGCAGCAGCAGCAGCAGCAGCAACAACAGCAACAACAGCAACAGCAGCAACAACAGCAGCAGCAGCAGCAGCAGCAGCAGCAGAAAACGGGTGGAGTTGTTGTTATGCAATAGAAAGAGGTTTGTGATCCTTTGACTCTCTTTCTCTCTGTCAATCTTCTTCTCTTGCAGGTTTACGAGTATAGAGTGGGTATTCGGCGAGAGACTAACACTTGTAAAATGGGAGAGAAGTGGAGGCTTTACGTAGTACGAGCGAATGGTAAAGTGGTAAGTTAGGAGGCTTTACGTCTAGCTAGCGAGACCTGTGTAAAACAAAGCGGGCTTGTACAACACAGGAGGTTCGAAGTCGAACCTGGTAATTGGAACCTCGTCTCAAAGTTTTGTCTAAGTTCTCTACCGCGTGGCTTGTTTTCTGGCAACCTCTGTAAAGAGACGAGTGAGCTTGAAGAGAGATCCCGGGAACCTGGTTTCCAAAGTTGTGTTCCAAGTGGTAAAATCATGGTTCGTTTTGCACGCTTTCCTCCTCTGCAAGTGGAACTGTTCTGTCCCAGAGAATATGGAGCTCGAGGGCCTCTTGAAGCTTCTGCAAGTTGAGAGAAGTGGAGTAGCAGCTGGCTGATTCCCGTACTTGAAGTTCTCCCACAGCGTGAAGATGTCATTGCTCGGTTTCTTCCTCTTGGACTCCACCGCCATCTTTTGTAGCAGCAGCAGCAGCGGTAGTGGTAGCGTCCTTTCTCTTTCTCGACGAAGTGGTACGAGTCGGAGCTTCGTCGCGCATCATGAGCTCGGCCTAACTCTTCAAAGCGTCCTTGACGGACGAGGGCGACGCGCCTGTTTGAGGAGAAGCCAAAGCCGCTAGCCATGCACTTCTTGTTGACAATCTCCTCGAAGTCGTCAAAGGCTAGCCGCCTCAAAGCTGTGCGTCGCTGGGATTGCTGGCGACTCGTCCCAATCCTCCCCGCCAAGCAGAGAGTATGGAGGCGGTCCCCCGAGTTCCATTCCCCGTCCAGCTCAGCCGCAAGAGGGAAATAAGGACGAGCCAGACCCTCCATGCAATCAATCCAGGGCCTGCTTGGATGGCGGAAGGGGTGGCTCCAATTCCAATACTTCCAACTTTTTTGTGGCTCCACAGCTTCAACTTGTTCTTTGAAAAATGCAGCACGTTTCTGCACCTGTAAATGCTTTTGAAACTCGTACATCCGCTCTGAGCCTGTCCCTGTCCCCCACTTTCATTTCGGGAATTCATGTCCGTAGCCGCACGATTGGAGCCTTCAGTCCCTCCAACAGGCTCGACTGCACCATATCCTGATCCCACACGTCTCCCCACTTGTCCATACTCGCACTATATATTGCAGGGGTAGTGGCAAGATTTGGCGAAATGCTTCGCGGCTGCGAGCTGCTCTGGTGGTGCCATTGCCATGAATGCAGCGAGAGTGTTCCCATGGATGAAAAAGCGTAAGTTGGATTATCGTTTTCGCGTCCTCGTTGGTGGCCTCCTCGCAATCAACCCACTCACCGCTCACGCCATCCCATCTTCTTCTCATGCTTCCAGTTGGGCACCGCGAGACTATCAAAACAGCATATACAGAGGTGGCGCTGGTTTGAGCTTCCTTGACGCAGCTCAAGACGATCGAGTCGGTGTTTGCCGGATCGCGGGAAACGACGTGCATGCTGAGACCAACTGCTGCTGCATAGACGTCATCGACATTCTGAAGGATGGCAGTCTTGAATTCTCTGCCACCTTTCAAAACCTGAGAAAGCATACAATCTCCAGAGTGATTCCAGGCACCTCGATCTTGCGCAGGCAAGAGTGTCGAAGAAATCAGTGTCGACTAAGATCTTATTTGTATTAAACAGAGAGGTTAGTTTTCACCTGAGATTAAGTTGATCGCGAATCGCAGCCGTCGGACTAAACAAAATCCAGCCCCGTCGTTCATTTCTTCCTGTATCATCACTCCAAAATCCTAAAAGAAGATAAACGTCCCAGTTGTGGATGCTTCTTCCAGAGAGAGCTTTGCATAAAATCGTGCCTCGTTAACACTCCCACCACGGGAGATCCCTGTGAAGGAAGTGAGCATAAAAAAGAGAGAAAAAAGAGAGAGAAACATACATACCTCCTTGTTCTTGGAAAGAACACAAAGATGTCTCAACGCAAGCTGCCGGAAGAGAGAGTACGTCTTTGCCAGTGACAGTGTCTCTAACACCGTGTAAGGCGACTGGTTCACGACTGGAGTTAGATCGAGCAGGCTCTCCACCTCCAAACAATTCCCCGAGAGAGATCGTTGCGCAGCCGGGTGTTTTCTCACGGTTTTCACTGCGATCTTCTTCGGCGAGTTCGCGGATCTCATCTCCAGGAGGACGTGGATGTGAGCTCGCAAAACCATCCCGAAAAACCTGTCCTTGCCGTCGGGTTCACGATCCAGCACCGGAAAGGCGTTGTAGGAACAGCCGGAGAGGACGTCGAGAATTCTCCCAATCTTCTCTTCGCGGTAGAGTGTCACTGGAGGCGTCAGGATGGCATCACGAGCTGTAAGCTGGGACATAAACGGAGGAGGAGCCTCCTTGAGAAAATCAAACCCCTTGATGTCGATGTGGAGCTTGAAGATCCCATAGTTGAAACAGTCCCCGACCACCTTGGAGATGAGCAGCACAAACATCACCAGCGGAAGCATCGATAAGTTGTTCGTGAGCTCCAGAATGACGACGCAGAGAGAGACCGTCATCCTCATGGAGCCACCGAGGAAAGAAGCAGCACCGATGATAGCGTACATGCTCTCGTCCAGACGGTCGTGTCCAAATATCGAAACCATCACCATGCCAGCGAGCCGGCCATAAGTTGCTCCACAGAGAATTGCCGGAACGAATAACCCCGATGGAACGAGGATCCCGTAAGTCATCAAGGCGAGCATATAGGACGAGGCCGTGAAGATCAGCAGCGTGATATAGTTGTACTCGAAGGGCGTACCAAGGCTGAAAAGGTTTCGTATCGCGTCCTCGGTGGTGTTGAATATAAGCCCGGCCAGATCGTTGTAGTGACCAGGAGGACAGTTGAAAGCTTTGTAGTTTCCAACGCGTCCGTGAGTCGGGCATTCTTCGTTATTTGGGGGGCATTGCCGGCATGGGGCAAGCCAAGGAAGGCCAAAGCTGCAGATAGAAGTGATAAACGCTACCAGCGCAGCATGAAAGAGCTTGGCAAAAACTCCTTTTCTACAGCCAAATAAACACGCATAAGTAGGCGCGAGAAGATAAAATTTTGAGGAAGTACCTGCTTTGCCACTTTGTGTTGAACAAGAAGAAATGCGCGTGAAGATGGTTGTACAAGCTTCCCAGTGTGCCGCCTATAACACCCAGAATTGCGACTGGAACAAGCTCGAGCAAACCATAGTTTACTCCCGCGTCTCCTACGTCGAAAAGTATCAAGCCACCCTTTCCGTAGCTTCCACAGTGACCATGGCGGCACCAGTGAATGCCGATTCTCAGGACGTAGGAGACGACTGCAGTTGTAAAGAAGGTCCTCCATAGCAGCGCGCTTCTCCACCTGCGAAGCCAGAAATGCAGCTTAACGATCAAGAGAAAGATAATGCGTAGAAGAAAATCCCTCACTCTTACCATGAGGCAGCTTCTTCCAAAGCAAAAAGAACTCCACCGATGGGTGCTCGAAAAGCCGCAGCAAGCCCCGCGGCAGCTCCGCAAGCGACGAGATCCTGACGGTTTTTATCGTTGTCAAGAAGATCTAGCTTCGTAAAACCCAGCAAACGATGTGTAAAACCAGGCTGCCCGAAGAAAAACGCTATACAAGCGGCCATATGAACCAAAGGCCCAGCTTTACCACACATAAGACCGCTCGAAAGAGCACCAACAATTCCTACCACCTGGAAGATCAAACTCAAAGATCGAACACGAAAGAACCTTCATCGATGAAGATTCAATGAAGAAACAATGCAAACCTTGACAAAAAATGTGTTGAAACGCAAGGCCGAGGAGCAATCGACACCATTGAGATAAGCTTCGACTTCCGGAACTCCGGATCCTGCCGCTTCTGGAGCAACGTAAATGCAAAGTAAAGCCGATAGTAGAACCAGCACGATATTGCTTCCGGCATAGACAGCGAAAGCCATAGCGATTCTGAGCCCGAAAAACAAAAAAAGAAAAAAATGGACCAGTTATTTCAAAGAATCACAAGTCGCTAGCAAACGAAAAAACACTTCTAAGAGACATCTCTAAGATTTATTTTTTTATTAGATACTGATACTGTTCTTGCGGAAAACGAAAGAAATCATACCTGTTAGAAGCCATTAAATCGACTGTCGCAAGAAATCTCGTCCCAGCAATGTTCTCCACAGCCACATTGATCAAGAGAGACACGACGCCGGTCCAAAATCCAACCAGAAATACCAGGATCCACTTGCAGATTGTGTAATGGAGTATGCCGAATCGCGAGGTTAATCGCCAGTCTTGCCGATACAGATCATTCTCCACGATTCTGCAAGAAAAAGAAGAGATCACTCAAGAACACTGAAGGAAACGAGGAGAGAAAGAATCGCTACTCGTAATTCAAGCTGTCCAATGCGCCCGGCGGGAGGTCGCCGGGCTTGTTCCCATCCAGCAGCGGCTCTGCCAAATCGATGCGAGCTCCATCTTCCATGGAAAACCCCAGGGAAGTGGAAGAGCCCTAGGCCCCACGAACACGAGAGTCATGTTCAAGTGTAAGGATATTCGCTCAGAATCTAGGGTAAATGGAATCGTCGAGAGCGATCATCGTCGGCGCTGGTCCGGCGCCCAGTGGCGGCTGCTCCTGTAGCTTCGATGCGGCTCCAGCGCTGGGGATTCGCAGTAGAATCTGGAGGCATCGAGTGGTTTCATCCAGGATTCGCGTAGTAGCAAGCTCGGGCGTGATCGCGGGGCCATCGGACAGCGCCAAAGAGGAGGAGGGAGACATGCCCGGGTTTATCCAGAGAATGGAGCAGACATGGCTGATTTCCAAGGTAAAATCTCTCCCTCTTCGCAATTCTTTCCTCTTGCGATTCTTCGGCGATCGCGTTTGATCGATTGATCCCAGCAACCCAGGCCGGTGGCTTGTTCTCGGTGCCAAGCTTGCGGCAAGAGAGAGTGCCCGTGGTGCAAAGGGACGGGCTTCTTCATCCTCGGCGACAATGTCCTGTGCGAGATCTCGTCCCACAACACTAGCTGCTACATTTGCGCTGGAAAGGTGAGCGAGCGATCGATCGATCGATCGATCATCTCTTCCTCTTCTCGTTTGATCGGTTCTAACGAGTGGTAGTTTCCAGGGGGTCGTGAATTGCGATCAATGCAAAGGAACTGGCTATCGCGCAAAATGGCTGGGACAAGCTTAGCATTATCCTCGCGCGCTTGTATGAAAAAGTTTTGTAAAAGAATATTCTTTGAACGAATATTCGTATCTTCTTTTCTAGGGTTTATTAGAGAGAGTGGGACACGTTGAGCGCTTGAAATGCTGCCATCTAAGCCAGCAGCTGGCTATCTAGGTCGAGTTTCCTTCGATTGGAGAGAGGTATTTCGCATCCATCGATCTAGCGTCTTCGATCATCGGCAGGATCCAGGATGAAATTTCCCATGTATATTGCGAGCTGCGCCAGGGATCAATCGGCGAATTACCTGGATGTGATCGACAAGCACACCGGGCAAGCGGGTATGTATGTGATCGATCGAAATATTTCGCTCAAAAATTTGCGATGAGGGACTTTCCAGCCGCCAAGGTGCCGCTGGCGTCTCCCGAGGACATCGAAGAGGCGATCCAGGAATGCGTGAAAGCGGCACCGGCGATGGCGGCGTTACCTTCCTACGAGCGCAAGGCGGTGCTTAGAAAGGTATGGATTTTTGCATCGCTCTCATCTCTCGTAGCTCCAAATTTCTTTGTAGAAAACATTAGAAAGCATCCACATTCTTTCCATTCTTTCTTCCTTCTCACTTGCTCTTGATACTTGCTTCTTTGTTCGCTTGAGAAAACATTAGAAAACATCCACATTCTTTCCATTTTAGTCTTGCATTTGTTCTTCCTTCTCACTTACTGACTCTCGATGCTTGCCAGATTGTTTTCGAGCTCGAAAAAAGGTCCGAGGAGATTGCTCAACTGATAACCACCGAGTCCGGGAAACCGATCAAGGATGCAAGGGGTGAAGTTCAGCGATCCATCGACACTTTTGAAGTAGCTGCCGAGGAAGCTACTCGGATTTACGGGGAAGTTCTTCCACTGGATATTTCAGCACGCAACAAAGGCATAGAGGTAAGCTACTCTTTTTTTTTGTCAACTATTGGCAAGTTATAAGGAGAACGCTTGGTGCAGGGTATTGTAAAGAAGTTCCCTATTGGGCCGGTTTCGATGGTAAGCCCGTGGAACTTCCCGCTCAACCTGGTTGCACACAAGGTGGCACCGGCCATTGCTGTGGGGTGTCCGTTTGTCCTAAAGCCGAGCAGTCGGACTCCACTCTCGGCGCTTTTCCTGGGAGAGATTCTAGCATCGTGTGACAGTCTTCCCAAGGGTGCCTTTTCCATCCTCCCTACCACTCGCAACGAAGCTGATGCTTTCACGACCGACGATCGCTTCAAGCTTCTCACATTTACAGGCTCTGGCATGGCTGGCTGGAATATGAAAGCTCGAGCCGGAAAGAAGAAGGTTCGTCGGCTCTTTCTTTTTATTTTTTCTTTCGCTTTCTTCCTTCAGATGGAGCTTCGCTTTCTTCAACTTCTTTGATTCCTCTTACAGGTGGTTATGGAGCTGGGAGGCAATGCTCCATGCATAGTGGAAGATCTCGTTCCAGACCTGGAAGGCACAATCGCTAGGTTGGTCCATGGGGGATTCTATCAAAGCGGCCAGTCGTGCATTCACATGCAGCGTCTTTACGTGAGAGGTGGCCTTTACAAGGAGGTATCCGACACCCGTCTTTAAATTCTATCGTATTCTTTGTTCTCAAATCGAGCTTTGATCTAACGTATCTGGTGCTGGTTGTGTAGGTGAAGGACGCATTGATCGCTGCCGTTAAGAAACTCAAAGGTGGCGATCCTCGCCAAGACGACACGTCCATCGGGCCCATGATATCCGAGTCGTCGGCAGCTACTGTGGAGAAGAGCGTGAACGAGGCAGTGAAGGCAGGCGCCAAACTTCTAGTTGGTGGTAAGCGAAGGGGAGCTTTCATGGAGCCAACAGTCCTGGAAGACGCTCCCTTTGACACGGACGCAAGGAAGGAAGAGATTTTCGGTCCCGTGATCCTTCTCTACTCATACAAGTAAGCTCTCAAAGTTTCTTAGCTCGCAACGTTCTTCTTTACTTCCTTTTTTCTTTCTCTAAATTAAAACGGTGGTGACGCAGTGATTTCAAGGAAGCCGTGAAGGAGGCTAACAACACGCATTATGGTCTCCAAGCCGGCGTCTTTACGCGTGATCTAAACAAGGCCTTCTATGCGTTTGAGCACATAGAGGTAGCTTTGCGTTTGAGATATAGAAAGTATTGATTGATTGTTTGATGATTATTTGATCCTCACAGGCTGGAGGAGTTTGCCTCAACGATTCGCCAAGCATGCGCGTTGATAGCCAGCCATACGGTGGGATCAAAGACTCTGGAATCCAACGAGAGGGTGTCAAGTACGCGATGGACGACATGCTCGAAACCAAAGTTTTAGTCATGCGCAATGTAGGCAACGCGTCTTACTTTTGATCAAGCTCGAGCTCGAGCTCGAGCTCGAGCTTTCGAGAAGAGTAAATACAGTCTATCCACGAATCACTGTCCAGTTGTCCTCGTTTGCTCGCTCGCTCGCTCGCTCTCTAGCACCATCAACCTTTTATCTTTAGGACGGAGAATGCTTGTCTATAAGCTCCTGGGAGAAGGTCCATAGCTTGTGAGCGAGCTCGGGATCTCTGCCATAGGCGCTACAGTTGGATTTGTTGGAATCCACGAAGTATTGTCCGGTGACGTCCTTGAGGCTTGGATGCAGAGCCGCGTAGCACGTCGTAGCAGCGCCCTGAGAGACCGACCACGTATTAGTCACAATAAACTTCCAGATAATTGGGAGAATTCTTCTTACCTGTGGCACATTTTTCCAAAGGAAGCTGGAGAAGAACTTGAGAACCCCTGCATGAAGATTAAAGTTCCATAAGTAACCGAAAACAATGACGAGTTAAAGAGACAAACTCATTATGTAGAATGTGTGCCGCATCAAAGGCGTCATTATAAACCCTGGATGAACAGCGTTAGCTGTGATGTCAACTCCTTGGGCCTAATCAGCGAAAGAGAAAGCATTGACGAAAGAGAAAGGTGGGAGAGATTTCAAAGCATTAGACGAATACCTTGAATCTCATTGCCAGTTCTTTGGCGTGGAGGATGTTCGCGAGCTTGGATTGACTGTATGCTCTAGTGTCGGAGTACCTTTTGGAAGAAAAAAGGAAGAATGTAAGCTCACGAGAAAAGAGAGTCGTTTGGTGTACCAGGCTTTGTCATTAAGGTGTGAGAACTGGATTCCACCGCTGTAAGAGGCGATGTGCGCGATGGAGGAGAGATTGACAATTCTTCCCTGGATGCCACTTTCCTTGGCGGTCTCCTTCATTTTGTCCAGGAGCAAGTTTGTGAGAAGAAAATGGCCTAGACATCACAAACAAATGAAAAGAAAAGAGTCAAGACTCCCGAAAATTTCCATGGCGCATACCCAGATGGTTTGTAGCGAATTGCATTTCAATGCCATCGGGAGAGAGCTCGTAAGGAATCATCATAATTCCCGCATTGTTTCTAGGAGGAAAAGAACAAACATATTAAAGAAACAAAGAAGGAATTTTCGAAACAAAGGAACTTACATGAGAATGTTGAGCGGGAGCTTCGTGGCCAAGAACTCCGCCGCAAAGCTCCTCACCGACGACAAAGAGCTGAGATCGATCTTCAAACATTCTATTCTGGCCTTGGGATATTCCGCCAAGATCGCATTCTTCACCTCGCTCGCCGCGGTGAGATTCCTGGCGGCGATCACAACCCTGGCCCCGCGCATCGCGAGAACGCGAGATGCCTCGGCCCCAATGCCGCTAGCGCCACCTGGAGAAGCACGCAATGGAGCAACGGATGTGGAAATTTCCATCCTGGCCAGACGAGAAACCATTACCCGTGATGAGGACAGTGAGATTGCTGGCGTCGATTCCCTTGGTGACATCCTCGGCAGTGGAGGAGGATCCAAAGCCGCTCGGACCCCTCCTCCCTGTGACCAGATCCACAAGCCCCATGATCATGAGCTCTCCAATCAGACTCCAACCCTGGACTGCGATCGAGATTTTGGAACGATCGTTGCCGCTATCGCCCTCGCTGCCACTGCGCTACGCTTCCCCCCATTCCAAATTTATATCTCTGAGAGTTGGAATGGAATGTTAACGGCGGGATTTGAGATTTCGCGCCGGAATTTACGGCAGCCGCGACATTCCGTTCCAGAAGAGTTCACAAGATCGACGGTCAGGATTCAAACAATCCCGGAATCTCTCATTTGCTGGTACATTTATTGCGGTTGGAGACAAGGATGTTTTCTTCTTTTTTTTCCCAGCCCAGCTCGCAAGTGAGAATTAAATTCGTCAAAGAGGAGCTTCCTGGTCTGGCGCTTGCTTGGCTTGGAGGAAAAAAACGAGAGCGCGATCGACCGCATTTGATCGCTCGTTTTTCTGGGAGACGCGATAAAAAAACTGGACATAGATTCCTTCCTCTTCTCTCTGTGAGCCTGCGCTAAAAGAGCCACAAATCAATCAATCACACAGCTACTACTTTGTCCTCACAGGTAACAAACGAGCTTACCTTCTTTAAGATCGAAGGAAAACTCGTAAATCAGGCTTTGTAGCGTCGCCATTTATATCTTATCTTTGGTGTCTTTGGTGGTGCGAGTTAATGCTCTCAGCTCATCCATGCGCTCCGCGAGACGAGCCTTTTTGGAATCCTGCAGGTACAGCGGTGTGAGAAAGTGGACCAGCTGGAAGATTATAGCGTACATCAGCGGCGCTGCTGGATAGCAACGAGACTGTTTCCGAAAGATACTGATCCAGTGTACTAAATGCCTTGTCAGGGATTGCGCTCTACAGTCACGGCGAGTTATGTAGCCGCGAAGAAACATAGTTTTTCATCAAAGGCCGTACCTTTAGTCGAGCCACCGCCGACGACATTGCTCGACCGGGAGCTTGGAGGGCGCGGCCGTGGACCTTTCAAGTAAGCACTAGAATCTGTAGGACTGGAGAAAGTGGGAATATTCACCTGGACGTATAGCAACGCGACCACTTTTGGCAGTAGAGCGATGGGATCTTGTTCTTGGTCCACTTGTTCTGAGAGGTTCTGGATAGAAAGGACTTCTCGTTGCCAATTTTGCTACAACCATATCAATTAGCACGCTAACCTTTCGATATGCAAAAAACAATGATCGTTCTCCCTTCTTGTCAAGCTTTCTCACACGTAGCCCACTACAAGAACACCCAACTGAAGGCACTTAGCATTTATAATTCGTCCAGTTTGCGTACCTTTCCGTGACGCTCGCTTCAAGAGCAGAATCAAATGCTCCAATGTTCTAGGAAGATTTCTCTCGTGTTAGTGACAGCGGATATGGATATGTTAGATATTAAAGCACACCTTTCCTTCCAGAGACGCCACCATCTCAGTTGCTGCAGAGGAGAGAGGTTCAGGTAGATTTTTGGCCTGATAAGATAGGATGAGTCAGTGTCACCACAGGGACTATCATACCAGGGACATCCTCACTGCCATCGAAAATGGCTTGCAAGGTTGAGCTCCAGCACTTTCGGCATTTTCTATCCTATGTTCCAAAGCCTGCAAATGTATACAATAAGAATCATAAGCGCTCAATTAAATTTCGGTAAAACCTGTGTTTCTAGGAAAACATCCGTTATTTCGGAAGCAGTTGAACGCAACAGATGCTTGTGCAAGACAGCCTGCAAATATCCATCGTTAGCCTGTAATAAAAGAGCTCAGCAATACCGACTTCCATTCCCTTGTCATCTTCAAACAGCTCTATTGCCTTTGAGAACAGCTGCAGATTAGCATAATCCTGTTGCAGATATATCAGAAATTTCTAAAACATACAGAAATACAACCTCATCAATTTTGCGCTGCAGTGCATCTATCCGTTTTCTCCTCTCCTCTGTTTTCGCTCCAAGATAAGCACGCTTGAGGGACGTCATGTATGAGATCAATTGTGGTCGCAGTTGATCAGCCAAACATTTTGCAAGAACACCTGTATCGCCATCCTCTGCGCACAATGTTGCTCGGTCAGAGTTAGAAGTGGATTTACAGATGGACGATACCTGTTCCGGCAGCCTCAAGGTCTGGATACCATTCGATGATTTTCTTTGATAGCTTCTCTTCAGCCAAAAGATCCATCTCGTCCGCAGGAGAGCCCTTTCTCGCCTTTGAAGGCACTGCTTCTTTGACAGATGGAGTCTTGCTTGACTTGTGTCTTGCTGTCTTCTTCTTACTTTTCCCCGACTTTTCTTCGTTTTCTTCTTCCTTTCGGATACTATTATCCTTTTGCTTCTTGTCGTTCTTCTTCGATCTTGAAGCAAACGGCTTTGTTTCATTCTCGTCCAGCTCAGGCTCAGGTTCCGCTTCGAGTTTCACTTCAAGAGTCGAGAATGTTTTGTCTTGAATTTCTCGTAACATATTTTGAAACTTTTCCAGCAGTGCCTGTCCAAATTCATCGAGTTAGAAAATGATGGCAGCCACTTAACTAGAGACCTTTACAAAGCCTGTACCGACGATGCATGTTTCGGCCACAAGGGTCGCTGTTGAATCCTGTAAATCGACACATACAATGTAAACTCCAAATAAGGCTGCCAGTCATAATGTACCTTCAACGCTCGTTGTACGAATGGGCACAAAAGTAGCAGCTTTCCAGAATCTGAGCATCCAAAAGTTGATGGAAGGACGTCAAGGGCATCCAACCTGAAAGAACCATTTCATTTGTACATAGCCTAGCCGAATTCGAATTACCATCCTCCCCCTTTGACTGACTCTTCCGCAGCTGAATCCAGCAGACTTATGAAGGAATTGTGAACAAATACATTGTCCAAAGCGATGCCTTCTGGATATTTAGTCTGAAGCAAAATTAATAAGCGAAAGGACATGTGAGATAACTTACCTGCAAGTATTGCCTGGGCTGAGAGATGTTAAGCTTCTGAAGAGCATCATAAGTAATGTAGGAGTTCTGAAACTCAAACATGAATAAGCTTGTATAAAGAGAGACAAACCAAGCAGAGCACCTGAGAATAGAATGCTTCAACGCTTTCACGTTGCGAGTGAGCGAACACCTGACACCATAGAATAGTTAATCTCTGAAAAAAGAAAAGAGTGTTCTTACCGCTGGTGTCCAGATTGATCCACGAAGAGTACCTTTCACCGCTTCCTCCGCGACAAGCTCGTTCAACACCATATGAAACAAGCTGTGCTCTCCAGTGACATTACCACCATCGTCTCTATCTCGAAGCAAACCTTGCAAAAGGTTCCACACACTTTGCAAGGACGTAGGCACTGTGATGGCTCTCAAAGCTCCGCGAACCGTGGCTTTCACTCGAGCAACGTATGCTGGAGTATAGAGTTGGCCTCCTTCCAACTTCGCGTGAATCTATCGAGAAAAAAGAAAAGAAAAAAGTTCCAGCGTTAGATCTTCTACCAAAAATCCAAGAACACGCTTCTTACAATGGTACCTATCCGGGACGAGAGCATCCCAGTCAAGAGCTCCGCTCCAACACCATAGCGTCTCGCAAGCTCTCCGAGAGAGACTTGGCTGGCCTCTTGCAAAGTCTCGTTCACCTCCTCCGCGAGATTATCCCAGTACTTGGTCGAGACCACCTCGCCTTGCACGAGCATGAGCTCCGGCGAGCTGCTCACGATCTGGTCGGCCTGGCGCTCGCAATGGAAGAGATCGACGCCGACCAAGGACGCCAAATCCACGAGCGAGACACGGCCCAGGCGATTGATCTCGGCCTCCATCTCCTGCCGCAAGCGATCCTGCCGAAATATTTCCGGATTGGAGGAATCCTTGGATGAGGAGCCATACCTGAGTGATGTACTCCTTGCCGGAGACGGTGTGCAAGAGATCGGCATCGAGGATTCCCAGCTGCTGGAGCTTGACGACGAGCTCCACGACGCTGCGCTCTGAGAGCCGCGCGGTCGGCTTGGCCTGCTGCGCCGCCTCGAACAGGCGCTCCAGCTCCCGGAGCTCGGCATCCATAGCTGAAATATTCTAGGGCTGTTCCAGTTCGATGGAGGGGGCGATCGAGACGATCCACGCCTTCACCTCAGCCGCATTGTGTGTCGATCGATCGATTCCTAGCTTGATTTCTATCGGGGATTTCCGCTCGCTATCGTCTCTTTAAACCCTAGATTCTGGAAAGATGCGTCTTATAACAAACCCTAAAGCTAACAACAGGTCAAACTAACGTTGAAGTTGGCACAGGATGAGCGCCGAGTTGGGGCCAGACGGTAAGTGGAGTGTAGCTGGGCTATGTTCGTTGCCTGATTTGTGTGCGCTTGCCGCAGAGATGGAATCGCTACAGTCTTGGTGGAGCTATGTCTGGGGTTTGAAGCGGGAGGATATTGCAGCGGGCAAGGTTATCAAGATGTTTAATCCCATCTCGGTCTCGCCAGACAAGAGACTGTCCAGCTTGTACGTAAGGAGGATGTTTGACTCCTTATTTTGGCAGATCTGCTCAGAGTCTGGGTTTTCTGCCAACGACTGGATTTGCCACATAAGCGGGAATTCGGGTGTGGGCAAGTCAGCGTTCCTTTGGTACTTCATCGTCAGAACCGCTATAGAGTTGAGAGATTCCAAAGTCAAGCTGGAGCTGCACATTCTCTACGAGTCTGATGGCTTCGTATGGGAGTTCAAAGGCACTGCGGTCCGTGTGGCAAAGCGCGACAGCTTCACCGCGGCCACGTTTGCCAAAGCCTCGTGGCATCTGATAAATCAGAAAGTCCCCACAGATGGTGCTATCGGACCTGTTGTATTACTTGCGGCTTCGCCAGCCGAGGAAAACGTTAAAGCTGCCAAACCCGATCGAAAGAAGACTGTCATGTACATGTACCCGTGGGAGGAAGATGAGTACGCGGCGTTGGTGGACTTGTGGAGGATCCACTACGAGAAACTTGCGAGTGAGCTGGAAACACTGAAGAAAACGCTTCGCAGTCTTGAGAAGTGGGCAAACGTGGAATACGACTTTGGAGCAAGTATCATGCTTGCGGGCCGTGCAGATTTGGCTAAAATTCCCGAGGTGAAAGAACGCGTAGAGAAAATGCTGCAGAAACATGTCGAGACTCAAAGTGAGACAGCAACGGGGTTAGCTTTCGATCTTAAGGTACTTATCCAGGCGCTCGAGCAACAGGTGCAGCACGGCTTCGAGCGTGTCAGAGCTGCTCCAGAATACTACAAATGGTTCGGAGGCATTGTGCGCTTGCTTTGGGCTGATGACTTCCAGAGATTGAACCCGGAAGAATTCGTGAGAGACTCGTTGTCTAGGACGGACCTCGGCCAGCTATTGGAGTGCCTCAAACAGAAAGCTCAAGGGCAGAAAATATCTTGGGCTCTGTTACATTTCCGGAAGCCGGCTGCGAGCTCTTCATTCCGTGAGTACTACCTTGACTTTTGCAGTGTTAAAGTCCAGGCCCAGTTTACTCTTGCTCTGACGAGGATGAAAGCGATAGACCTGGAGTTCTTCATGCGGACTTGGTTGGACATTCCTGAATATGGGGTTCTTCGAGGCTTTGTTTTTGAGGAGCTTTGCATTGCTTATGTACTGCGCGGAGCTACGCATACCGTGGTGCTTATGGTGATTTACTGTTCGTTTCTTACATTTAGTAAGTCTTGTTGCTGTAGGTCGATGATAAGCACTGTAGCAAATGTAAATCGCGTGAAGATCCTTCCCGGGGAAGATACCGAGGAAAGTGGATTGTATGCGATGTTTGCCAACAGTGCTACCACTTCAGCTGTACCAGAGTTACTAAGAAGCAAGAGCTGGAAGTATTTTGGCAGTGTTCGTCCTGTAAGAGCATGAAAAGAGAAGAGCATTTGGAACCAAGGCGGTTGTTGCGATATTACGAAGGAGATCTGAAAGCTGCTCTACTGGAGGCCGGTGAGTTAGCGCTGAGATCAGTTAACATTGGTTGGCTAATTGAGAATGACGGCAGGTGCTGATGCTATCCAGTATGTTTGGAGGCCATTGATCAAGAATGATGGGGCTGTGGACTACACTATTCTTCCTAGGACGCTGGCACAACCAACTATAGCACCACGCCATCCAGTATCGGCAGAAGCTCTTAAAACACATATCAGTGCTCTTCGTGCATGGAACGATGTCTATGGCGGGACTAGTAAGCCGGATGTGTTTGTACTCTGCTTCTTCCTGGCGGAGTCGAACTATGACGGGTTCGGCTTCCAGAGCTACCGCGACAAGTCCCGTAGGGTAACTAAACAAGCTGTGAAAGGTTCGTTATATATGCGTTTCATAGCTGCTCATACTTATGGAATGAACAATGCAGGTATTCGCCAGTGCAAAGTGTTGCTGCGGTACACTGCACCCGTTCCATGTGCAGAGGAAATGGAGATTCCCAAGGGTGTCGAGATGGTCAATGACATCGAGGGGTGCAAGTTTGACGGTGAAGTGTGTAAACCTAATTATTTTGATCCTGTGGAGGCCGTCCTTCGGTACGACGAGGTGAGTGTGAACAAGAAGCGGAAGTTTGCTTTCTGAATCCGTCTTGGAGAGTTTTTGTGTCTGTACTATCGCAAACTTTAATGCCAAAGCAGAAAAGACTAGCATAGGGTGCTATTGCTCCAGATCGTCAGAAAGTCTCGATGGAGAAAGGTAGGCTGCCTTTTTCCTGTGACAAAAAAGAAAAGCCAGCGTTGTTATGGAGCATTCCTGCTAGCAATTTCCAGGATTTTTTTCTTTTTTTCTTTTTTTTTTTCCATGAGATAGCTGAAAATTGAACAGAAAGCTTCCTCCGTAGCAACACTTCACCTCGGGTTCTAAACACAAACCGAGTGGAACAATTTCTCCTCCTCTCGAGCGCCAAATTGTGAGCTTCACAGACCCGTAGTAAGAAACGTTCTGAACTGTATTAGACATATTGTATTTATAGTTATAATAAAATATTATACTTATTATTATATCATTTAAATGCCTATTAAATTTTAAATTCCAAAATTAAAATATTTTTAATTTAAGAGTAATTTTGACAACGATTTTATTTTTAAATGAGTTATAAAATGTAAAAACATTGGCATGTTTTCATGTATTTTCTTACCAATTCTAATGACTATTGAAACACTGAGAACTGAAACCAATATTTGCGAGATTGAGTAATGAAATTATATACAAAGTGGTTCACACTAACTTATGGAGCATATTCTATGTTTCTACACGTTAAAGGTTAAAAAAATTGACTCTATTGCATTGTTTATGTTTGTTCATATATTGCACCCTTACAAAAGACTGCTTCGCCTTGATGCTTTAAGAATCTCATCACTAGCTTTTGATGATGCATAAACATTCTTGGCTTGGCTACCCAGTAGCTGCTCCAATTAGCCATCCAGCAGATGCCCTTTAACACTAAGACCTCCTCTCTGCATGTTTATAATCCATGTTTAAATCAGCATTAAAATGTGTACAAAAGTGGTAGCAATGTTCTTATGCTTTCAAGAAGATAAACCGGAGCCTTACCGGGGGACCACTACCAAAAGGCTGTAATAGGCTTGAATTGCCAAGAAGAGGAGAATTTTATTAGCAAATGGGATTGCAAGACTAAGAAAGTTATAACCAAGTTTGTGAGATATACATGCAGATGCAAAGCTTCTTGAAGAGGAGCCATGTGTTTATCAAAACAAGGTCCAATTTCTTGCGTATTTTGTGATTGCTATGAACCCATGTGATTATCTGGTAAATTTTTAATTCCATAATGCAAGTTTTCATTTTTGTCTTTTTCTCACTTTTATTGAGTTTAATCCCTTTGCCATTCCTTAATCACAGGTTCGTACGCCTCCGCCACGTCTACCGTACACGACTTGATCCACACGTTGCAAATCGGGCACTTTTTCTGGATCGTCGCCATTTGCACTGCGCACTCCTCACACATGAGATGGTGGCACGGCAGCAGCGCTTTCGTTCTCGGCCCCTCCCCACAGACACTACACTTGGGATCCATCAACGTACTTATCCTGTAGCTCGCATACGGCTTTGGCACCGTACAGCGTACGACGAGCTGCCACCCTTCCGCCATAGCCGTGACCTTGGCCCCGAGCACGTACTTGATGGGAGGGAAGCCGTCTCTCACCGCTTCCAGAACGAGCCTTCCTTTGAAATTGCCCAAATCTGCACGGATCGTCGTGAGGATGAGATCCACTGGGGAGCCCAAGTCGAAAAGCCAGCTCCTGCCCATGCCCAAGACCGTGACCTTGGGATACTGGGGTGACGAGATTTGGAAAGAGTTGGCCGAAAGATTGTTGATGTCTTGTTGTTGTTGCTGCTGCCAGACGTTTGCTGCTAAAGGGAAGTTGTTTGAGGCGCTATTGAAGAAGAGGCGGGGGCTGTTGTGAGGAACTGGATTGCCGCTATTGTAGCCCAAGGAAGCCAAGGTCGCCTTAACTTCTTCAAAGAGAGCTGGTGGGAGGCCCGGAGGACACACTGTGTTCGCAGCACCGTTGCACCGAGAAAACGCCATTGGAAATGAGTGAATACCTAGAAAGCTCTCGCCCCTGTTTTTATAATGCTGCGTACCCTTTTCCCTAATCTTTAACTTAAATCAAAATTAGTGTTTATTTACATTTTCCTTTAATGTCTTTGTTTGCTCGATTTCTTCGCAACTAGTCTCCTAGATTTTGCTATCATTTCTTCGCTAACACTGGGGTTTTATGCACACCAGGTTGATGATTTGTTTATTTTTGTTCAATCATTCTATCTCAGGTAGCATCGCTTGAAAAAATGTATAAATATTGGTTCTAGAGCCGCATCGATAGTCAAACTCCATATTCTTCCACTTCACACACGCCGCCAGCACCGCCATCCAAATCGTCTTGAAGAGCTCTCTGCCTCGTTCGACCTGTCCGGCATGGCCGGTTGTGGAAGTTTAGTCGACGCCAACGGAGTCTTGATCCAGCCTACTTTGGTGTCCTAGAACGCGATGATTCTAGCTTATGCCGTGAATGGTGAAGGCGGGCTGGATTTGGAGTTATTTGTGGGGATGCAAAGTCATGCCAAATCGAGTTACTTTCCTTGCGACCGTAAAAGCTTGTGCGGCTTGTACAGCGGATACAACGGACAGTCTAAAGGAAATCGGTGGAAAGATGGTGAAACTTACTTGCTTGGAGCTTCACTCGGAGGCAATGAAGTGCGGTTGCATGTTGGATCACTTCCTGGCGAACAGTTTGATCTTCGTCTACTCGCAGTGTGGGATTCTCAGCGAATGTTTGACAAGATGCCGACGCGAGACGTAGCTTCCTGGAGTGCACTGGTTCAAAGCTATGCTGAGAACGAGGTGAAGCTGCTCTTGAGCTGTTTGGAGAATGCAAGAACAAGGGTGGACCGTGACTTATCTTGCAGCGCTAAAGGCCTGTTTAAGGGTGGTAGCAAAGGTGGACGGCGGACAGGTGGAAGGGAAAGCTATCAAGGCTTGTTGTTTCGAGAGAGTGAAAGCTATACACTCTCTAGCTGCAAATGCTGGATTCGACCAAGACATTTTCGTGGAGAGCAGCCTGGTGGACGCCTACGCAAAGTGTGGGAACATCAAGTATGGTCGTCGAGCTTTCGACAGGATCAAGGGTCGCAACTTGGTGCTGTGGAACATTATGATTCTCGGCTATGCCGAGAACGGGGACGGAGAATCAGCTCTCGAGCTCTTCGGCCGCATGCAAACAAGGGACAGGATTGTACCAGACGCTCGAAGCTACGTTGCGGTTCTCAAGCTGTGCTAGTGCTCCAATAAGAAACGAGGCTCGCAAGCCGGAGTTCTTGCTTAAAGGCAGAGACATCCACTCCAGAGCTATGAACAGCGGGCTTGAGAGAACAGCGACAAAGGTGACGCAGTCTGGAGAGCAGCGGCCAGAGGTCCAGAGCAATGCTGCTCTCGCCGTTTTCCTGATAGCCCGTGATCAGTGCCGTCCAGGAAACTGTGTCTCGGTGCTTCGCCCTGTCGAAAATCTGGCGAGCTTCTTCCGGGCTGCCACACTTGACGTACATGTCCACCAGGCAGCTCGCGACGAACAAGGCCTGTGGAAGCCTCGCAGCTATGGCAACCGGCAGAGAAAAGATCCGCAGCGCTCGACTCGACACGGACCCTTTGGTGGATTTCTACGGCAAGTGCGGCAGCATGGTGGCAGCCGAGCGAGAGTTTGCCACTCTCGAGCTCGGTAACTTGGAACGCACTGACAGCAGGATACAGCCATCAAGGAAACACCGGCAAGGTGTTTGAATCGTTCAAGAAGCAAGCCGGATGCTGTGACTTTCCTCTCGGTTCTCACGGCTTGCAGCCATGCCGGACTTGTCGAACGAGGCAGAGAGCTCTTCAAGACGATTTGGATGGCGGTGCTGGCGGCGTGTGTGAAGTGGAAGAATATGGAGTTTGACTATCTATGCGGCTGCAGGGAGGTTCTAGAACCAATATTTATACATTTTTTCAAGCGATGCTACCTGAGATAGAATGATTGAACAAAAATAAACAAATCATCAACCTGGTGTTCCCCAGTGTTAGCGAAGAAATGATAGCAAAATCTAGGAGACTAGTTGCGAAGAAATCGAGCAAACAAAGTTAATCACAACATTAAAGGAAAATGTAAATAAACACTAATTTTGATTTAAGTTAAAGATTAGGGAAAAGGTAAGCAGCATTATAAAAACAGGGGCGAGAGCTTTCTAGGTATTCACTCATTTCCAATGGCGTTTTCTCGGTGCAACGGTGCTGCGAACACAGTGTGTCCTCCGGGCCTCCCACCAGCTCTCTTTGAAGAAGTTAAGGCGACCTTGGCTTCCTTGGGCTACAATAGCGGCAATCCAGTTTTTCACAACAGCCCCCGCCTCTTCTTCAATAGCGCCTCAAACAACTTCCCTTTAGCAGCAAACGTCTGGCAGCAGCAACAACAACAAGACATCAACAATCTTTCGGCCAACTCTTTCCAAATCTCGTCACCCCAGTATCCCAAGGTCACGGTCTTGGGCATGGGCAGGAGCTGGCTTTTCGACTTGGGCTCCCCAGTGGATCTCATCCTCACGACGATCCGTGCAGATTTGGGCAATTTCAAAGGAAGGCTCGTTCTGGAAGCGGTGAGAGACGGCTTCCCTCCCATCAAGTACGTGCTCGGGGCCAAGGTCACGGCTATGGCGGAAGGGTGGCAGCTCGTCGTACGCTGTACGGTGCCAAAGCCGTATGCGAGCTACAGGATAAGTACGTTGATGGATCCCAAGTGTAGTGTCTGTGGGGAGGGGCCGAGAACGAAAGCGCTGCTGCCGTGCCACCATCTCATGTGTGAGGAGTGCGCAGTGCAAATGGCGACGATCCAGAAAAAGTGCCCGATTTGCAACGTGTGGATCAAGTCGTGTACGGTAGACGTGGCGGAGGCGTACGAACCTGTGATTAAGGAATGGCAAAGGGATTAAACTCAATAAAAGTGAGAAAAAGACAAAAATGAAAACTTGCATTATGGAATTAAAAATTTACCAGATAATCACATGGGTTCATAGCAATCACAAAATACGCAAGAAATTGGACCTTGTTTTGATAAACACATGGCTCCTCTTCAAGAAGCTTTGCATCTGCATGTATATCTCACAAACTTGGTTATAACTTTCTTAGTCTTGCAATCCCATTTGCTAATAAAATTCTCCTCTTCTTGGCAATTCAAGCCTATTACAGCCTTTTGGTAGTGGTCCCCCGGTAAGGCTCCGGTTTATCTTCTTGAAAGCATAAGAACATTGCTACCACTTTTGTACACATTTTAATGCTGATTTAACATGGATTGTAAACATGCAGAGAGGAGGTCTTAGTGTTAAAGGGCATCTGCTGGATGGCTAATTGGAGCAGCTACTGGGTAGCCAAGCCAAGAATACTTATGCATCATCAAAAGCTAGTGATGAGATTCTTAAAGCTTCAAGGCGAAGCAGTCTTTTCTAAGGGTGCAATATATGAACAAACATAAATAACGCAATAGAGTCAATTTTTTTAACCTTTAACGTGTAGAAACATAGAATATGCTCCATAAGTTAGTGTGAACCACTTTGTATATAATTTCATTACTCAATCTCGCAAATATTGGTTTCAGTTCTCAGTGTTTCAATAGTCATTAGAATTGGTAAGAAAATACATGAAAACATGCCAATTTTTTTACATTTTATAACTCATTTAAAAATAAAAACGTTGTCAAAATTACTCTTAAATTAAAAATATTTTAATTTTGGAATTTAAAAATTAACAGGCATTTAAATGATATAATAATAGTATAATATTTTATTATAACTATAAATACAATAGAAGATGATGTCTAATACAGTTCAGAACGTTTCTTACTACGGGTCTGTGAAGCTCACAATTTGGCGCTCGAGAGGAGGAGAAATTGTTCCACTCGGTTTGTGTTTAGAACCCGAGGTGAAGTGTTGCTACGGAGGAAGCTTTCTGTTCAATTTTCAGCTATCTCATGGAAAAAAAAAAAGAAAAAAAGAAAAAATCCTGGAAATTGCTAGCAGGAATGCTCCATAACAACGCTGGCTTTTCTTTTTTGTCACAGGAAAAAGGCAGCCTACCTTTCTCCATCGAGACTTTCTGACGATCTGGAGCAATAGCACCCTATGCTAGTCTTTTCTGCTTTGGCACTAAAGTTTGCGATAGTACAGACACAAAAACTCTCCAAGACGGATTCAGAAAGCAAACTTCCGCTTCTTGTTCACACTCACCTCCTCGTATCGAAGGACGGCCTCCACAGGATCAAAATAATTAGGTTTACACACTTCACCGTCAAACTTGCACCCCTCGATGTCATTGACCATCTCGACACCCTTGGGAATCTCCATTTCCTCTGCACATGGAACGGGTGCAGTGTACCGCAGCAACACTTTGCACTGGCGAATACCTGCATTGTTCATTCCATAAGTATGAGCAGCTATGAAACGCATATATAACGAACCTTTCACAGCTTGTTTAGCTACCCTACGGGACTTGTCGCGGTAGCTCTGGAAGCCGAACCCGCCATAGTTCGATTCCGCCAGGAAGAAGCAGAGTACAAACTCATCCGGCTTACTAGTCCCGCCATAGATATCGTTCCATGCACGAAGAGCACTGAGATGTGTTTTAAGAGCTTCCGCCGATACTGGATGGCGTGGTGCTATAGTTGGTTGCGCCAGCGTCCTAGGAAGAATAGTGTAGTCCACAGCCCCATCATTCTTGATCAATGGCCTCCAAACATACTGGATAACATCAGCACCTGCCGTCATTCGCAATTAGCCAACCAATGTTAACTGATGTCAGCGCTAACTCACCGGCCTCCAGTAGAGCAGCTTTCAGATCTCCTTCGTAATATCGCAACAGCCGCCTTGGTTCCAAATGCTCTTCTCTTTTCATGCTCTTACAGGACGAACACTGCCAAAATACTTCCAGCTCCTGCTTCTTAGTAACTCTGGTACAGCTAAAGTGGTAGCACTGTTGGCAAACATCGCATACAATCCACTTTCCTCGGTATTTCCCTCGGGAAGGATCTTCACGCGATTTACATTTGCTACAGTGCTTATCATCGACCTGCAGCAACAATGAAGAGCTCGCAACGGAATGAAGAGCTCGCAGCCGGCTTCCTGAAAGGTAATAGAGCCCAAGATATTTTCTGCCCTTGAGCTTTCTGTTTGAAGCACTCCAATAGCTGGCCGAGGTCCGTCCTAGACAACGAGTCTCTCACGAATTCTTCCGGGTTCAATCTCTGGAAGTCATCAGACCAAAGCAAGCACACAACGCCTCCGAACCATTTGTAATATTCTGGAGCACGCTCAAAGTCGTCCTGCACCTGTTGCTCGAGCGCCTGGTTAAGTACCTTAAGATCGAAAGCTAACCCCGTTGCTGTCTCACTTTGAGTCTCGACATGTTTCTGCATTTTCTCTACGCGTTCTTTCACCTCGGGAACTTTAGCCAAATCTGCACGGCCCACAAGTTGGAGGAAAGTTGGAGGAAAGCTTGTCAAGCTCGTAGCGCTAGAGCCTGGACGAGAGGTTCACGCTCGAGCTGTGAGGAGTGGGTTAAACTCGGACATATTCGTGGCCAGCACTCTGGTGGATATGTACGCATGGAAGCATGGTGGACGCTTGGGCCATGTTTGACAGGATGGGTTGGTGACGGGCAGTCGGCTTTGACGTTTTCTCGAGCATGCAAAGCGAAGAAGATGGCTGTGTTCCCGACTTGGTAACTTTGCTCGGACCTGGCAGAGAAGGAGAGAGGCGAAAAGATAGACGGGAGAGCTGTGAAGGTTCAGTGCCTGGAGAGAAGGTTTTAGCAATACACTCTCTGGCTGGTCGAGGTGGGTGTGGATTCGGTTCTTCGGTGGCCAACACGCTGATCGCTATGTCCGCCGGTTGTGGAAGTTTAGTCGACGCCAACGGAGTCTTGATTCAGCCTACTTTGGTGTCCTAGAACGCGATGATTCTAGCTTATGCCGTGAATGGTGAAGGCGGGCTGGATTTGGAGTTATTTGTGGGGATGCAAAGTCATGCCGAATCGAGTTACTTTCCTTGCGACCGTAAAAGCTTGTGCGGCTTGTACAGCGGATACAACGGACAGTTTAAAAGAAATCGGTGGAAAGATGGTGAAACTTACGTGCTTGGAGCTTCACTCGGAGGCAATGAAGTGCGGTTGCATGTTGGATCACTTCCTGGCGAACAGTTTGATCTTCGTCTACTCGCAGTGTGGGATTCTCAGCGAGTGTTTGACAAGATGCTGACGCGAGACGTAGCTTTGTGGAGTGCACTGATTCAAAGCTATGCCGAGAACGAGGTGAAGCTGCTCTTGAGCTGTTTGGAGAATCCAAGAACAAGGGTGGACTCCAGATCGCGTGCAGCACTAAAGGCCTGTTTAAGCGTGGACGGCGAACAGGTGGAAGGGAAAGCTATCAAGGCTGTTGTTTCGAGAGAGTGAAAGCTATACACTCTCTAGCTGCAAATGCTGGATTCGACCAAGACATTTTCGTGGCAAGCAGCCTGGTGGACGCCTTCGCAAAGTGTGGGAACATCGAGTATGGTCGTCAAGCTTTCGACAGGATCAAGGGTCGCAACTTGGTGCTGTGGATTCTCGGCTATGCCGAGAACGGGGACGGAGAATCAGCTCTCGAGCTCTTCGGCCGCATGCAAACAAGGGACAGGATTGTACCAGACGCTCGAAGCTACGTTGCGGTTCTCAAGGCCTGTGCTAGTGCTCCAATAAGAAACGAGGCTCGCAAGCCGGAGTTCTTGCTTAAAGGCAGAGACACGAGTAGAGTTCCAGAGCAATGCTGCTCTCGTCGTTTTCCTGATAGCCCGTGATCATTGCCGTCGTCCAGGCTCTAGCGCTACAAGCTTGACAAGCTTTCCTCCAACTTTCCTCCCTTCTTCTCTCGCAGCAAACCGAGCGCAGGCTTTGATCGCTGCCAGGAAAGTCACTCGATTCGGAGCAAGGCCCTCGACGCCCTCCATGCGAGAGAAAAGTTCCAAGGCCTCACCACACTCTCCATTCTCCGCATAGCCCAGGATAATGGTATTCCACGACACTAGATCGTGCTCCCGGATCCTCTCAAACACGCGATGAGCTCCACCATGGAGCCACACTCCGCGTACATTGCCCGAAAACCCAGGCAAGAACAATACAAGATAGATAGAATATTACAAAACCAGTATAGAAGGAAAGAAGCTCACATTCTAGACGAGAAAAATCTCCACACTCTGCCTAGTCTAGTTCCTGACCAAGCTCCGGCCGATTTTCAGGCCCGAGTCCTTGTTCTTGATCTCGTGCGGGACGTAGATCACTTCCACATCCGGAGGGATGCTACCATTCCTTCCACTCGCGGCTGGAAGCTCGCGGCCTTGATCTCTTACTGCGAGCTTTCTTCCATTTTCGTCATCTTGGTTCTTCTCGAGCTTTCCTTCTTTCTTTCTTCTCTCCAGTGACATTATCACCATCGTCTCTATCGCAAAGCAAGCCTTGCACGAGCTCTGGCGAGCTGCTCACGATCTGGAGGCGATTGATCTCGGCCTCCATCTCCTGCCGCAAGCGATCCTGCCGAAATATTTCCGTGCCAGCGAAGGAGCTGACTGTTTGTTGATAGCCGATGCTCCTGGGACGGGATCATCGGCCCGAGAGCGTCCCAGGATTGCGCGATCGGATCAGGAGTGATGTAGTACTTGCCGGAGCATCCGAGCTTGACGACGGGCCTTGGCCTGCTCATGATAGTGAAATATTTTAGGGTTCTTCCAATTCGATGGACTCGGCCATGAAGGCGGCGATCGAGGCGATCCACGCCTCGCCAAGGCACGCTGTTCTTCACCTCGCCGGCGGCGCATCGCAGGTCAGCAGCCGCATTGTGTGGATCGATCGATCGATTCCTAGCTTGATTGCTATCGGGGATTTCTATGGATTCTAGGCGCTCGGGTGGCTGCTGTCGGTGCCGCGAGCTTCACAGACGCTGCTGGAAGCCACAGTTCCCTATACGCGCGCGTCGATGATCCAGCTCCTTGGAAGAGTAGGCTAGAATATCTTCGATCTAACAAAGAAAGATCTTTGGATTTTAGGCTCCACAGCAATATGCTAGTCGTGAAGTAGCCGATGAGATGGCTACCGCTGCTTACAATCGAGCTCTTACTCTCTCGCTACCAGGTGTGATTTCTACTAGAGTTTTTTCTCGATCGAGTGAGCGGATTTTTTCTTGGAATGCAGTGCAGGCACTCTGGTGGCTGGATTTGGAGTCACTGGTGCGTTGACGACTGGGAGTCCCAAGCGAGGAGATCACAGGTGACTTTGTTTTCGTGTTCTTCGTGGAAGAGTTTTATTTTCATTTTTTCTTTCCAGATGCCACATATCTGCTCGAACGCATTCATCTCTTTGGAGATATGACCTCACTCTTTACAAGGTCTTGTATATTTACAGCAACGAATTTTATCGATTGTTCTCATCTCATCTCCAGGGATATAGAGATCGTTTTGGAGAGGATTGTCTATCCAGTCAGCTCCTGATCAAGGTTATGATTTTTATGACCAGGCTTTTCAGTTCGCCCAGGCTTTTGATTTATGTCCAGGCTATGGCTGACGTTTGTGAGATTGGAAATACGGTACCGGTAGAATTGAAGACCCCTGAGGAAGAAATTCGAGAGTCGAGGCTGAATTACACAGAGGACGAAGAGCTCGAGCAGCTAATACATGGAAATGTCTGCATGGTCCGTTATCCTGGTGAAGGTACTTCGAAATTTGCTCAGTGCTAGTTTTTTCATAAGTCGTGATACAGATAGCAAAGATCGTAGAACCGGCAGAAGGGTCGTTCTTTCCGGTGCTTTTAATCCATTGCACGAAGGTCATCTTACACTGATGAGCACGGCATGCACGTAAGTTTCCTGATAGAAAATGTTTTTGTTGATCTAACGCAAGTTACAGCCTTGTGCAAGGCGGCAGTCCGTGTTTCGAGCTATCAGCAATTAACGCAGACAAGCCAGCGCTTCCAGTTCATGAGATCAGGCAGCGAGTGAAGCAGTTCGTGGAAAGAGGTATGGAGAGAGAATTCTAGGAGGTCTGTTCTCACGATGTTTGTGAATTCACCAGGAAAGACTATGATAGTGACCAACCAGCCTTTCTTCTACAAGAAAGCGGAAATTCTCCCGGACAGTACGTTTCTCGTCGGCGTTGACACAGCGATGAGACTTGTCAATGTAAGCTATATATCATTGCTCGCATCACTTTCACGAAAATTGATCTCTTCAGGAGAAGTACTATGGTGGAAGCAGGGAGAGAATGATGGAAGTTCTCCTGAACGTACAGAGACTCGGGTGTGATTTCATGGTTGCGGGACGCATCGTCGATGGCGTTTTCAAGGTGAAATTTTTATTGTTCCCATGATCGTTATTGATGCATTCTTTTTGCAGACAATGTTGGATGTTAATGTTCCAGAAGAAGTGAAAGAAATGTTTTCGTCCCTTCCAGAGAACGTTTTTCGTGTGGATCTCTCCTCCACAGAGATTAGACAAAAGGCCTCCATGTAAAATTCAAACTTGAATTAGCTGGGATCTGAGCTACCCTGGGGGCTATCTAAATGGCTTCACCACTTGAGAAGATAATCAAATCAGCCCAGCTACATAAACAACTCCGTTAGTTTGGCATTGTAAAAAAGAGAGATTATAGACAACATCTATAACATGTTTTGAGGTTTATGGCTATGATGTTATATATTAATAAGTGGGATTTTAATAGCTAGTAAATTAAACATTTAAAAAGATAAATAACTTTATATCTCAACTATATATATATATATATATATATATAAAAACTATTACAATGTAGGCATAACTAGATGTAATGTGTTGTTTTAAAGATAGTGAATTGGAAATTACATGATATATTTTGAACTTAGATACTAATTATTTTATTTATAAAGAGGTTAATAGTCTAGATAGGACTAATAAGTATATAAATTAGTAAATAACAAACATAGGCATATATAATGATATTGTGGAGGAAAACTCCAAAGACAAGTGTGTACAGAAAAACCACTGTTACTTAGGGATTTAAGCTTCTTCACACTTTGATGTTAATTGTCATCACAACCATCCAAAAGTTCATTTTCTTCAGCACTAACCTCTTCAGTAGTGCTATTATTACTCTCCATCAGAACATATTTGCTTTTTGCTTTCCACTAAGCCTTTTTTTATTACTAAACCCTTCTTTATTTAACTTCACAATAAGAATTTCCCCCTCACAACCCTAGGATTATTTTTAATCCATAACTAATTAATCACACTTAGTCTAAAACAAAGAAAAATCCATGATCTTGACTTTATCTCAGTCGCAAGCACAGTTTAGCCCCTTGAATATATAATTAAATTTGCCACATAAAAGGGAAAACATGTTTTAACTTTCAATTTGCATGAATTGAATAGGTGTTAATTGTTGTTATATGAAACAGTTTTATGGACATTTAGTTGAGCTTTTTAAGTTTAATTATGTTTCTTCTACCATGGAATGTAGAAGTATGTTTGATATAAATTAAGCAATTCCTTTATCATTTACAAATTAGTTTAATTAATACCATAAAATCTTTAAAAGTAAAATAAACAAACCCATATTATAAATCTTAGTTAATGAAATAAATTAATAAAGAAAACATATTTCATATATTTATTAGTTAAAAAACCTCTGCAGTCACAATGGCTGTGATCTAAAATGCTTAATTTTATATAAATAATATGATGCATTAGTGTTTTAAAAAATTTCTTTAATTGATAAATAAATTGTAGTTAATAATTCTTTCCTTCATTTCTGTGTAAATTTTACATGTTTCTACTTACTATAATAACACAATATTTAGCTTTATTACGTTATTCTTAGATATATAATTTTTTATAATATTGATAATAATAATCAGCAAAATTTTATTATTATGCCTTAGAATATCTATACATAAACAAATCTAAAACTTCTGACCAACTACCAATGGTAGTCTTTCTCTGTGCTAGCAGTAATTCAAAACTTATGACCAACTACTAATACTAGTCTTTTCTTAGTTTTATGTACTACCAACTAAGAAACAATAACGTGTGGCCATCGGAGTCTAGCTATGGAGGAGATGAAGCAGCGACCACACTTGCTAGCAGTTCCAGTCCCAGCTCAAGGCCACATGAATCCTATGCTTCAACTTTGTAAGAGGCTCGCATCTAGTGGATTTTTCATCACTTTCTTGGTCTCACACAAAAGGGAGAATTTTATAGCTACAGAGCAACGAGCTACAGGCCAGCACTTGCGATTTGTCTACTTACCCGATGCTTTGCTTCCAGGAGTCATATCCGCCTCTACGGTTCTGCTCGAGTTTACTGCTATTCTGGAGAAAAATCTCAAATTGGCGGTGCCAGAAATTATTCAAGATGTCATGGCAGATCCTTCTCTGCCTCGAGTGTCTTGCATACTCACCGACGTAGTAATTACTAGCCTTCAAGACGTCGCTCGCCAGTTCGGGATTTGCAAGGTGACTCTTTCAACATTTTCTGCTTCGTGGCTTAGCATCGAGAATGGTCTTCTTGTGCTCAAGGAAAATGGACTCCTGCCGCTAAAAGGTATGTTTTTCTTTTATTCTAGTCTGAGTTGATTTTTTCTTTAAATTATTTTTTAGGCACTTCGAGGATCATTGATTTCGTACCCGGCCTCCCTCCAATTGCTGGACGGGATTTTACTTTGCAAATTCAAGAAGTCCACCCCTTAGATCCCGACTTCTCTATCCGGTATAGCAGGAACCAGATCATACAAAATGACGCATGGGTGTTTATAAACTCTTTCCACGAGTTGGAAAAATCTCAGCTCGACCAGCTTGCTAGAGACAATCCACGGTTCGTTCCAATCGGTCCATTACTCCCGTCATTTGCATTCGACAGCCAGGTTGGAGTGGACGAAGTCGAGCAGGAGAGATGTGGTTTTTGGACGGAAGATATGAGCTGCCTCGACTGGCTGGACGAGCAGCCATCCAAATCAGTCATCTACATCTCCTTTGGAAGCCTGGCCAATGCTTCTCCTGACCATATCAAGCAACTCTATTCAGGACTCGTGCAAAGTGATTATCCTTTCCTTTGGGTGATACGATCAGACAACGAGGAGCTTCGAAAACTTTTCGAAGATCCAAGTTATGACAAATGCAAGTTTGTTTCCTGGGCTCCTCAACTCAAGGTAAGCTTCTTCTTTTACCTCTTTTTCTTGCTTAATATGTCGTCCACACAGGTTCTCAAGCATCCTTCCGTGGGTGCGTTTCTCACTCATTGTGGATGGAATTCTCTTTTGGAGACGATCGTTGCTGGAGTCCCCGTGCTTGGATGGCCTTTCTTGTACGAGCAGCCACTTAACTGTGCGCTCGCTGTGGAGCATTGGAAGATCGGCTCTTGCTTGCCACCGAGTCCAGATGCCACAATCGTTGAAAAGACAGTGAAGGATATCATGGGAGAAGCAGGCCAAATGTGGAGGGACAATGTCACGAAGCTTGCCATCTCCGCGAAAGATGCAGTATCTGATGGAGGTCTGTCACAACAAAATTTGCAAGCGTTTACGTGTAAAATGGAGATTGTTTCATAAAACCAAATTTACGGGTCATTATATAGTAGTTAAACAGAGATCGAAGCTCTAGTGTGGCGATTTCTAGTGAGGAGAAGAGCTGCGCGAAAGGAGCAGCTAAGCAGTGATGAAACAAAGAAGGAAGAACAGACGCAGCGGCGTCAGGACCGGCCCAATGCTTGTCTAGCAAAACTTTTGTAAAAAGCATATTTTAGGAATCAACAGCATCTGCATATATGCCCTTAGCGCCTTTGTATTTGAATGAATTTCACGGAGAGGAAGAACCAAATCCTGGGGCAGCGCTGCACAATGTGGCAGCTTCCAAGGATACTGGCTCGCGGCCTTTTTGGATCAGGATTTTGTGCGCTCCAGAGTCTCCAGGATGATCAGCTGCTACAACTACATCGTGGAGATGAATCCCGGCTTGCAACAAGCCGATTACGCGCCCTACACTGGCTTCCGCCGCGAGTGCGAGAGGTTCTTCGGCGATGACCGTCCAGGTAGCGTGTTCCCTCACTCGATCGATCCAATATGCTATCGTACGCATTCCTCTCTCACTCGTCACAGGGATGGATCTTATCAGATTCATGTTCCACCGGCACGTCCGAGATAAACATCGATGGCATCCTGCGAAAGGGGTTGGTGCTCACAAATCTTGACAAGTTCTTCTTCAGCACCTCCGTCAATAACTGCCTAAGCTTCACAAAGCCCAACTTCAATGGCGTCCCCAAGATACTCCTCTTCCTCGTGCTCATACCCTCTCCGGTAAGATCTCTCTTTCTCTCTCTCTCTCTCTCTCGCGTCCCATAAGATATGTTCTTAGTGATCGATAGCTTCATCGACTCTCTTTTTTCTTCTTTTCAGAGTCAAAAACTACAGGGATGTCTGGACGATTTCTGCCAATGTGCCACATCGGTCACTGCCAGAGCCATAATCCATCTCACATCGAGCAAGGTATATATAAACAGCTTCCCTTTTTCTGGACTCGATGTTTAGTGAGCATTCCTCTATTTCTCTCCAAAAGAATTGGACTAGGGAAGGAAGATATCATATTTTTGGGCTTGAGAAGTCGGGATCTATGGGGTGGATTTGAACCAAAGTAAAATCCTGTCCAGCAATTGGAGGGAGGCCAGGTACGAAATCAGATTCACCTTGAACTGGCGAGAGTGGAAACATCTCAGCTCGACCAGCTTGCTAGATACAATCCATGGTTCGTTCCAATCGGTCCATCCCGTCATATGCATTCGATGGCCAGGTTGGAGTGGACGAACTCGAGCAGGAAAGGTGTGGTTTTTTGGACGGAAGTTTGAGCTGCCTCGACTGGCTAGACGAGCAGCCATCCAAATCAGTCATCTACGTCTCCTTTGTAAGCCTGGCCAATGCTTCTCCCGACCATATCAAACAACTATATTCAGGACTCGTGCAAAGTGATTATCCTTTCCTTTGATCAGACAATGATAAGCTTGGAAAGCTTTTCAAAGATCCAAGTTATGACAAATGCAAGTTTGTTTCCTGGGCTCCTCAACTCAGGCTTCTCCTTTTACCTCTTTTCTTGCCACACAGGTTCTCAAACATCGTTCCGTAAGTGCGTTTCTCACTCATTGTGGATGGAATTCTCTTTTGGAGACGATCTTTGCTGGAGTGCTTGGATGGCCTTTCTTGTACAAGCAGCCACTTAACTGTGCGCTTGCTGTTGAGCATTGGAAGATCTGCTGTTGCTTGCCATGGAGTCTAGTTGAAAAGGCAGTGAAGAATATCATGGGAGAAGCAGGCCAAATATGGATAAACAATGTCGGCGAAGCTTGCCATCTCTGCGAAAGATGCAGTATCGGTCTGTCAGAACGAAATATAAAACCAAAAACTAAAGGGTCTCATTATAGTTGTTAAACATCTGAATAACCTCTGGGCTTTAAGCTATGGGCTTGCTGATTGATGAACTTTGGTCTAACACCCACGGAGGACCAATCAATGGGTCTGTTGCTAATCTTTGCTCACAATCTGGAATGTTGTGGCAAGTTAAGGAACTCCTTGTAAAGATGTTGTTTGAGCTAGGTGCTTGGTCTGAAAGATATTTTTTGCTGCAAGTCTGACAAGGATGGTCAGTACCTTATCAACAAGGATAGTAGAATGCTTTATCGTTTTAGTTCCACTGCAAGGCTTGTGAAGGGCACACAAGGACAAAGAATTTTGTATTTCAACTATATATAAATGGGTACATATATGCCAAGTTGTTGAATCATGTCTAGTTAGTTTGAGATGATAGAGATGATGAGAAAATTATATGAAAAACTCATCAATCAACTACCCAAAACTTTGTTCTTGGTGTTGCTCTCGCTTGCATACACTTTTGGTCATTATTATGGCTTTAATTTTGCCACTAGCATGAACCACTTAAGTAAATTTAATAGGCAAAAACAGCTGTTAGAGAATCTAGACTAGACCCACAGCATGAAGATGGGGGGCAAATGGTCTCTTCTCATTTAGGAAGTATACAATGTGTTCATGACTAGCACGGAGGAAACATCCTAAAGCTCTGGAGGAAATGGATCAATTAAGGTGTTGATATGGAACAAATGGTGGATAATATGCTAGAATTCTAGCAGCTCTTGGTTCAAAAGAAAGTGAAAGTCACCTCATAGTTGGTGGCCAATAATGTTTCCTGGTAGGCCAACAATTTCACGAAGGGGCATGCCAATGATATAAGTAAGGAGGTGGAAAAGGTCAAACATGTGGTATGGGAATGTGATGTCATGAAGGAGGTGTGGCATCAAGCTGTCAAGGAGTTGATCAATAAATAAAATGGATCCATTTTATAATTATACATTCTTAATATTCTTAAATCACAATTAAAACTAATGTAGCTTCTTACTCAACTGCATCAAAATGCAAATTCGATGCCAACTTTGTGTGGCAATTACAATAGGCACTAAAATCCAAATGGAATTTAGAAACATAAAATAGAACCAGTAATAGAGAAATCCAGGAGCTGAAAACTCTCGCCCATCAACAAACACTGTGCCGTAATAGACAGTGTCGCCATAAAGTTGCGCTATGGATACAACAAGCTGAAGAGGATACTGGTAGAATTTTTCTTTTGCAATTGCGAATCTGCAGAAACTTTAGTTAGTATATGGTAAGTAACACAGGATAGGATTTCTTACACGCAAAGCAAGCTTGCAGGGCCTACAAAAACCGCCGTGATCGCTTCAACAGTCACAATGGCCGGATCCCTTGCTGCATATCTAGAATCACCTTTGTTATACTCCTTCCCTGGAAAAAAAGAGTAATTTCATCTGTAACTTTGACTATTTTTTCTGAGAAGAGAACTTACAAACTTCTGCTAAATAGTGAATCTCCTTCTTCTTGTAGAAGTCCGGCGTGAAAACAAAATAGCCCTCCAAGACAACGTGAATGAGCCCCGTTACTGCCCACCAACACATTAAGCAGCGCTCCACATTCCTCAAGTAACGAAGCCTTTCTGGAAAAACACAATGAAAAACAAGGACTCAAGTCTTTGGAGCTTACTTGAAAATCTCCAAACCAATGTAACAACGAGCGCGCAAGCTGTGGCAAAAATGCCCAAAATCGACACCACCGAAAGCTGTGCAGCTACAAATCCCGGAATAGCCAAACTATAAGGATGCCTTTTTTGCACTTCACTGGCGATTTCCACCGCCACTGAAGCCGTTGCATCTCTTGCAATCCCAGTGGCCATTTTGGAGCCCTAAAAAGTAAGCCCTAAAAAGTATTGATAGTGCGAGAATATACTTTACGGGTAACGGGTTTTAGGGCAGAGAGCGTCAGCCATGGCGAAGGAGGAGTCGCAAGCTCGATCCGGCAGCTTTGATCGCTAGAAAATGGCCGAGGTATCATCCTGGGTGCCAGCGCTCCATCAGCTTCCGGGAGGCGGCGGCGTCCAGCAGAGATCTTCCTTGCAGGGATCCAAGCGCCTTGTCCCGCCATTGGCACTCCATAATCTCAATGCCGCTGCCGCCGCGAGTCCTGGGCATGGATCTCGGAGCGCAACGCGGTCAGGAGGATCGTGGCCGGGGACTGGAATTGGGAGTAGATCGTCGGTGGTATTGCAGCCGAGGGAGTTTCTAGATTCCATCTTGCAGGGCAGCCAGTCCGATCATCATACCCCACGGCCGCCTCCGCGACCATCTCCTCGCGTCACGGCCTGGAAGAAGAAAGCCGCGGTGTTTGGGAGGATGGAATGGGACACACTGTCTTCGTCACACAGGAGGACTACTTCGCACAGGCTTCCAATCTCTACACAACGAACAAGTTCTTCTGGTCGACCAGGTGTGTGTGTGAATCTCTCTTCCTTCTCTAGTGCTGTGCTTAGCTTCTTTGCTTGGTGTGGTTCTTCGCTATGGTTCCAAGGCTTGCATTGTGTTTAACATTCTTTCACGCAGATGCAAAGAGAAAGATTGGAAGAACAATGGCTCCTTCTATGTTTGCCAAGACGGACGCAAAGAATCTCCTCAGCCTTTACCAGCGGCAAGCAAACCATTACGTAGAAACTTTCAAAAGGCCGCCTCCTCCGTCCCGCACAGTTCCTTCGTCGTTTCCAGGCTATCGGTTGCACCGAAGGATTCAAGGGACATGGGCTTATCAGCCTCCAGACACACGTAAGTTGATCTCTTCCAACTCTTTCCATTGTCACCATGAGATTTTTTTTTTGTTTCTTTGATCCTGCTCACAGGCCAAAAGGCTTTGAACGAGTGGTTTGTCAAGCATATGAAGAGGCCCCCTCCTCCCATCGAGAAAGTTCACGTTGCGTTTGGAAAAGTGACTTATCCTTTCCAGTTTAGTACGCGGAAGAAGAAGCCAGGCACCGAAGTTCCAGAGCCGGTTATAGAGCCTCCCAAGATGACGTTGATCCCTCGCAAGAGTAAGCCTTTGATCGTTTTCTTCTTACGAGTCTGCTCGTTCTCTCTCAGGCTCAGTGTCTCAACAACAACCACAGCCCGGCACTGAGGCTCCACAAGCGGCATGATCGACAGCGTTTGCGATAGCCTTCCTTTCCAGTTTCTACGCTTGAAACGCTTGCTCCAGAGGTATCAATGTTCTGTGAAGTTTTTATGGAGTCTCATTTTAGTGTTCCTCAGATAGCCTACCGTCCGCGCAGACTGGTTCGATTTCATCGTCTCTTTGGCTCCGGACAGCCAGGTGCCTCTAGAAGTTGTTAGTGACATGGATCTCTTCCGCAGGACCAGGGACGATTCTCAAGTCGTGGACTGACCCAGCGAGTAGGACTGGAGCTGTCTCACAGCAGCACCAACGATTGCAAACGCTGCAGCACTGGGAGGCTCCGACCCATGTAGCAAAGTCTGTTTCTTTCCCAATGCCTGTGTCACGCTTTGAACTTTACCAGGCTTGCTTTCTCCAGATTCCCTCCATCTGTTCAGCCAGGGTCCAGCCAAGGTCGCCTCTCCTACCGAAATTCTGCTTCGTTTCACTACGGTTGAAGGTACCATCTCCTTGCTCAAAGCCACTGATGCTTCCCGCCGTCTTTTTTCCGTTGCAAAACAGGCCTGGTAAGGAGGAAAGAAGAAAGAATCAGAGCAAACAAACAAAGGGAAAGCTGAAAGATACCTCGGCTTCTTGCTCGATCGTGTCACGTCCTGCGAGGAGAATCAGTAAGAAGTCTAAGAACAAAATGAGAAAAACTGACGAACTTACTCTCAGGTTGCTCGGATCCTCTCGAGCAAGTCCAGCTGGGAGCGGGGCATGGATAAGGAGAGCTGCCGCAATAAGTTGTGGAGAGCGTCCTCGACTCCGAGAGATTGCCTTCCATGGAGGAAGGATCGGTGCGAGCTCCAACTGCGCTGTGCCTCGACGCTTCCAGCTTCAGCACTTCGGAAGTTAAGCTGGCTGTAATCGATCCCACCGCATCGTGATCTTCCGTCACTGCTGCCGCCACCGAAATTGGAGAGACCAAGGTGGCCAACCTCCTGTCCTTGCGCAGCGATGGGTTCTTCTTCCTGTCCACAATGTGAAAAGTCCCAAGAGGCGTTGGCTTCTCTTTGATGTCCAAGCGCAACGCAAACTCGGCCAGCAAATCTCTCCTCTTGCCATCCGTGCCATTTCGGTGTTGCTGCTCGAGTGTCACGTCCACGCCATGGATTCTCGCAATCCTCTCTTTTCTTTTGTGGGCTTCCACAGCGTCGGCCTTGCCAGCTTTGGGCGCTGGAGGAAGCGGCGGCTTTCGAAACTTGACGCCCGAGAGCTTGACGCGAAAAGAACCAAATCCTCTGGGAGAGCGTTGGATAGCGCAAAGCTTAGCTCCAGGATTAAAATCCTTCCCATTCTCATCCAGCCCGACTTTGCTGTTTATCCGGATGAGGAGCTCCTTGCTCATAGCCTGGACTTGATCTCTACTTGTCTCTAAACCCCCAATCTCCAGTCCGTTTTCACCTCCCAGCTCGAGCTTTCCCAGTGGAATCTGGAGTCCCTCGTCGCCATGCTCCTTCCTGCTGCTACCTCTCTTCAATCTCTGGATCCACGCCGATTGCAAGGCCGGCTCCAGGGTAGAAGCCGCTGCTAGATCCATTTCGGCGGCATCAAACCGCATTACCTGTATTTCGTGCCTAGACGATCAAAATCCCATCTCAAGTCTCGGTGCTACCAAAAAGGGCTACAATCCATTCCAAGGAGAATCTAAAGCACGCGCCCCCCACTGTCGATTCCTAGCCATCGCTCGGCTGCGAAGGTTCTTACGCGGTCCTTGACAGTGCACAAAATCCCAGTTTCAAATCCGTCCATCCATCCTGATTTTTGGTCAATCGACGGTCTCAATCCGTTCATCCATCCAACCGTACACGTGGCGCCCACTTGCCATGTCAGCCCCAGTCAAGGGCAGGCATATTCGGTTAAGGACAGGCATTAAAGCCTTAGCCCGGCCGCGAGGAACTGTTAGAAAGAAATACCAAGCAATCGATTCTAAAGTGGAGCAGAGAAGAGAATGAGATGCTGGCTTGATGGCGAGAGACGCGTGATTCTTGGTACCACAAAGGGAGAGCGCGGGCGCTTTCACGACGAGTCACGCGATCACGAGGTGAGAATGGGAAATTTCTTCGCTCCATTCGCTTACTCGTGTCGAGCGCGGCATTGGCATTGCTGCCAGGAGTGATATTTTGGCGAGAGGAAGAAGAAGCGATCGATCTATCGGTACGAGGTTTAGGTTTTCTCTGCGATGGACCGCGACGACACGCGCAACTGCGATCTTGTTATCTCGGACAGGACCGCGCTGGATTTGGAGAACAAAGTGCTGGATCCGGGGGTCTCGGAGGAGAGTGACGCAGTGGATGTAGCGGTGGAGGCCACAAACGTCTTGGTCCCCTTCGTAGACGCTCTCCTCCCAGCCAATTGCTCACGCGCAGGGTATTCCAGCGACGACCACTACCCAGATCATGGAAGTTTGTCAAGAACAGGGGATAGCAGTCTCCACGAAGAAGTACTGCGATGGAAGAACAGTAGCAACGAAGGAGAACAAGTTTTACCAGCTAGAGGTCACACCGAAGAGCAAACTCTAGAGGCTGGGGAGTTCTCGGGCCAAGCGGAAGAGTTTCCCGATCAAACTGGAGAGCTCTTGGAGGATCGAGCTTCCGCAGCTGAAAAGCTTCCGAACGCTCTCTCCAACGGAGCTGAAGAACACAAGATGGATGAGGAGGACGACGACGAGCAAGGCTTACCAACACGGAGCCGACCGGCTTGCAGCCGATCCAGCACCTTCTCTGAGAGGAGCGTAGAGTCGTGCGATAGTTTCGTGAGCGCCGAGTCGCGGCTGGAGCCATTCGCCGAGCGGGAGGAGCTGATCAAGATGTTCGAGACGTTTGATGAGAATGGTGACGGGAAGATCTCTTGCGAGGAGCTTGGCAACACGATGAAGAAGCTGGGATTCGAGATGTCGAGGTCGGAGCTGGAGAGCATGGTGGTGGCCGTGGACAATGACGGCGATGGCTTCGTCGACTTTGATGAGTTCCTGGCGCTCTACAGCAACATCTACTACGATGATCAGCACCACAGGGCCAGGGACGGTGATGAGCAGGATCTGCGAGAGGCCTTCTCCGTCTTTGACAAGAACAAGGACGGGTTCATCACGGTTGTGGAGCTCCAGGCGGTGCTGAACAGCTTGGGACTGAGAGACGGGGGCGTGAAGCTGGCGGACTGCCGAAGGATGATCAAAGCTGTGGACGCGGACGGCGATGGCCAGGTGAACTTTGACGAGTTTAAGCGCATGATGGCCAGCAACTTATTGGAGAAGTAGCTTAGTAACGAGACGGGACTGTCGCTCGCCGGGCCACGGCTCTATTGGTAGCGCGCGTTATTGATCTATAGATGACGGTGTGATCTTGGGCTACATCACAAAAACCAGACTGTTGGCATCAAGACAAAGGAATCAAGATGGAAGCACTCACTGCTCACATTACAGTGACATAAAAAATGTTTCGTCCACTTCGTCTATGCAGTCTTCCCATTTCTCGTCGTCGTTGTCTGTAATGGTACTCGTGTCCGAGTTCGTGCTTCCCTGCTTGAGTAAGCAGTATTATAGCAAATTAAACTCTAAAAAAAGAAGAGTACCTCCTCTCCGATTATGCTTTTCAATGCTCCACGAGCAGCGTGAACGCGGCCTAAAAGCCGCCACAAGAAGTTGTAATCTCGCTTAAAGCCCTCCGCAGTATCAAGCTCTTTCTTTGCCTGTGCGCACCCGAGATACACAAAGTTCATAAAACAATGGAAATAGATCTTACGTTGGAGATGAGCTTGAGCGGATGAGATTGGTCATCGTTGTATTCGTACATCAGCAGCAGGGCGCGTTCGTAGGCTGCCATTGGGATCACAAACAACTCGGACTCCACGTACATGTCATCTTCCCTGCAAACAAGAGCAGTGTAGTCACGAGTGTAGCCACGAGTTCACGGATATATATACCTCACCAAGTCCAGACAAGAGTGCGCCTCCACAAGTTTTCTTTGTTCACGGAGAGCAGTGCCCTTGATGAGATTGCAAATAGCAACATAATCGTCCGGTTCCTCCTCGTCCTGCATGTACCTTATTGCTATGCATTTTCTCTTGTCTTAACATACCTCCTTTTCCAAGTTAATAGCACTCTCACGGTGACTACTTCGAAGGCTCTTTTCGGCTTTGTCAATAATATGTACAACAGCCTCAAGCTCCTCCTTCGGCATCTGTGTGAGAGAAAGTGAGAACAGGTAAGAAACGAGAGAATGGCATACCTGAGGAAACGAGTTCCACAAGTACAAAAACTCTACTCCACATAATTGTCCTTGTACGCCCTGTGCTCCTTCCATGGTATCAAGAGCATGATCTTTAACCTTGTAACAACAACAAATAAAAAAAGATAAAAGAAATATAGAAGATACCTTTCTTGAAGCATATTGTTCTTCGGCTAAGACCCGGCCAGACATGGTTCCTCGCAACAGGCCTTGCACCTGTTCATGCGGACGTTAAAAGGTAACCAGCACACGTAAAAACTGCAACCTCCGCAAACTCCTTTGCTGCAAGCTTCGCTTCACCGCGCATGGAAAGGCACACTCCCTGCGAAGACAGGTGCTCAGCTAACCACGAACGCTCTCTCTTGTCTAAATTACGTGTAAATACGCAAAGAACGCACGGGACCACGCACTGTCCTGTTTCAACTCAATCCAGTATTTCTCCGCTTCTTCCCACTGGTCACCAAGCAAAACAGTGGTCAGCGAAATCGATACAGAACTTCGATTTACTAACTTGAAGCAGCAGCATGTGGCCTAATCCAAGCTCATACACCCATGCATGACGTAATTTGAAAAAGTGTGAAGTACTGCTCAGCTTCAGCCCCTGGAAGTAAAGTCAAAACTTGGAAAATTTAGAAAAACCATTTACCCTTTCGAGGCTTTGGAAACATTCCATGGAGCCTTGAAGGTCGCCATTGAGACGTTTCAGTCGGCCTTCGTAGAAGCTGAAAACAAATTCATTATACGCGCAGCGTTCTCTATAATATACGCACCTGAGGAAGAAACTTTTAGGATAAGTTTCTTCCATAAAATTTAGAATTTCCACCGCAGATGCAACATGGTCTTCACGCTCCTGCAATTATACGAAATGCGAGAGAATCATCGTGCCTGCCAGAACATATTTGCATACTTGTGGAGTAGAGAAAAATGCTGGTAGTATTACATGGTACGAGAGCAGCAGTCTGGAAACCAGAAAAAAAATGTCGTGAGCCACCGATGCTAGAAATTAGAAAAGAAACGAAATGCCATACACGCCGGACAGGGGTGCTCGCAAACCTCCACCTTTCAGGCTCTCGTTGATCGAATTGAGTCCGGCAGCTCGATCCGACGGGAATCCTAAAACAGAAAGGAGCCGCAGCATTTTCGGTGGTAGCATTGAGATTGCAAGGCTGAAGCCACCAAAGCCAAGCTTTACTGCACTGACGTTATGTTCGCTTCTGTTAGAGTATTCCTGCAAGCGTTCATATGTATGATCAGGAACGAAACTCTTTAGAGCGCGATCAACCTGTTTCTTGATGATGGCGTGACAATGCTTGTAACCTCTGATCGCCTTTCTTATAAGCAAAGCTGCCTGTAACACGAGAGATCAGTTAGCCTTTGATCGTGATGAAGGTCAGTATAAACGTACTCTAAAAAACGCAGCGATGGATTCTTCAAAGAAGCACAGCAATGCTGAAAGAAATGTAGCCTCTGCTTCAATGATTCGGCTGGTTTGAGAATGGAAGATCAAGCTCACGAAAGAAAAGGAATGGCAAAAGCGAATACCAGCTTAGTTCTTCTTCGCTAATATCATCCGATTTGGGAGATGGAGAAGAGAAGTATCCCATTCCCCAAGTGGCGATGCTTTGCACCCAACCTTGCTTTGGAATGAGATTCTCTGCCATGCTTGCGGCGGTACCGAGCTTCTCCATGGCTTGCTTCCTGTCCAACCATTTTCTTTCAATCTTTGTTTGGAGGATTTCACAGGAAAGAAAGAAAGAAATCTACCTGTCTTCCTCAGCTCCGGAGATTCCAGCTTTGGCGAACAAGATGACCGCATGGCAATGAGTAAAGATCGGCACCGCTCCGGCGACGCTGTCCCTGGCATTGACCCTAGCAACGATCATATCCTCAGCTTCATCGAATTTCCCCTGGAGAAGGAGTCTGCGATTTTGCAAGAAATTTCTCACGATCCTGTCCTGGGAGCTGAAATTTCGATGAGAGATTACCTGAGCGCCTGCTCCGCCTCATCGCAATCCCTGGTAACATCGTAGCACTCGGCGGCAGCGGCCATAGCCAAGACGCTCCTTAGCTAGGCGCATCGCATTGTGTGAATCCTCGATCCCTCACGCCCCGCCATCTCTTGACGAGCATCTCCTCGCGTCGCGCCGTTGGATGCAACGTCGACACGTGATCCCGTCCGTCCAGAGAGGAAAGAAACACACTACCAACGCGCAATAAAGTCGAAGCATATTCTGACTGACGGAACTTGACCCGAGTACATTCCGTGAAATAGAAGATTCCGTCAGGTGAAATATTGGCTAGAACCCTAGCAGTGATTGATCGATGGACGCGGCCGCGGCGAAGGCGCAAGCTGCGGCATCAGCGATTCCCAAGCACATTACCAAGAGCGCCAAGCGTGTGAGTGGAAATTTGCAAGAATTCTAGCTTGTGATTGATTGTTTCGCGATTTCGCAGCTCTACAGGGAATGCATTCGTCGGGCGCAATACGTTGGCAACAAGGTACTAAGCTCTCTTGATTTAAATCGATCGGCTCGTTTCTTGCGAATCTTCTCAGCACGGCAACACTGACGGCATTGTCAATATGGTGCGCGCGCAATTCCGGAAGAACATGAACGAGAGTGATCCAGAGAAGATCCAACAGATGAAAGAATTGTGAGTTTTCTATCGCTTTTCTTTCGCTTGCTTGATTGAAACTTGGTCTTTCCTTTCTTCCTTAGAGCTATTGCCGGTCTCTTCAACCATACATTCCATGAAGCCGCCAACATGGCTCACAAAAAGGATACTTACGAGGAGCCTGCTTAGAAAGGAAGAACTTTTTAGAATTCATCGCAACAATGGATCTTCTCGCGAAGAAAATATCCAATGCCTGGAACCAGTTCTTGGTAAGCTCTTTACAAGTAACAAAAAATCATTCTTTGTTCTCCCTTTCTTGCGTAACATTACACAGTGACTTAACTTAAATCCGCCTAGCCAGCTACTGCTGCTACTTACCAAAAATTTTATATCTTCAGGGTGTCTCGATCCTGCGCGGAATTCTCTCTCTCATTCTGTGAGCTTCTCCTCCTTAACTTTGACGCCAATTCCACCGGCGATTTTCTCTTTGGCACCTCCCTCATCAGAGAGTTTCTCTTCCTTAACTTTGGCGTGCCCAGTCGGAGTCTCTTCGTTTTCATCTGAAAGCGCTGGGGCGATCGAAGTTTTTCGCTGCCTCAGCAGGTTTTTTGCTTCTCGCTGCTCGTCCAGTGGCACCACCACTGCAGTAATCTAATGAACCACAAAGTTAGTGAAGCAACAATTTTCCACGTAGATCCGTCTACCTCGCAGTCTGGATCATCAAAGTAGCACTCGTCGCTGCCTTTCTCCTGGTCTGAGAGAGTCACCCATGGCTTGAAAGCTCCAGGATCGCAGGTTTTCTGCAAAAGAACGGAACACTTTTTTTTATCGCCATGAAGAAGTCCACGCTACCATAAGCCAGAAGAAGAAACCACGTAAGAGGCGGAGCTTTTCCTCATCTTCAGCCGCTTCTACTTTCTCCGCAAGATCTGTCCATGCAAACAAAAAGCAATGAGCAAACGAAAGTTCGTGCTATAGCAGGCAGTGTTTTTTTCTTATCACCTGGATGATAGTCGAGATAGGAAGGAGCTGTGACAGTAGTAGCGATTGGCATACTCCCGCGCCTTGTGTCCCTGTGACGAAGAACTGGCTTCCTACAGCTCGCTTGCTTGAGCATGCTCTCTAGCTGCTGAGAATCGAAGGGCTTCTCAAGCTCCTTCTCAAGCTGCTGGCGATACAAAAGTCCAGCGTCTCGGCCTAGAACAAATCCTTCATCCTGGTGATCAAACAAACAGCTTAACAAAGAAAAGAAAAAAAAACGTACCTTTGTCCCATTGTCCGAGTCGGAGTCCTGCTGCTCGGTGAGCGAGCTACTCTGGGTGCGTCTCGAGCTCTCATCGCTGTCGGGTTCCAGCTCCTCCTCTTCCTCACTCTCGCTCGCTGCGGAATCCACCAAGTGCGAATAGTTACTCCTGTTTCTAGTGTTCCTCCGGCAAGCTCTATGGAACACCTGAGCGTGCTCGCGGGCTCTCTCCAGGTTCCTAGCGCGGCTCCACGGTGCGGGTGTATTCTCCCTGCTGCCACTATCGTGTTCGATTCCTCGTTCGTCCTGGGTGTCGCTAGGAGTTTCTCCTCTAGAAACCCGCCCCTCTTCACTACTAATGCCTGCTCTGATCGTCTTCTTGTCACCACCTTCTTCGTTCTTGACGATCGCAACAGTTGCCCTCTGCTCGCTCCCTGTCCTCGGACTATCCTCCTTTTCGGCCTTGACTCGAGCACCAACGTTAACTTCATCCTTCTCCTCTCGTTCTTTCGTCTGCTTTGCCTCAGAGAAGATCTCTCGGAAGCGCTCCCCGGCTTGTTGGTGGCTCTGGGAAGCAGGAGCCGACGCTTCACTATCCTTTTCCATCTTCACTTGCTTTTGGCGACTGAAAACCTTACCTTGCTCTTCGTCTGCCGGCTTTTCTGTCTTGATCGCTGGGGCAGCAGCAGCAATCGAGCTCGTCCCAACGTGGTCCATCTTCTCGCCCTTGACACGCGACTGAAAAAGCCGGAGCTTTACTCTACTTCCAAGCGAAGCTACGTCCTTGCCACTGGCCTCCTCGTCCTCCTCCTCGGCGATGGCTTTATCCGCGGCCTTGTCAGACGCTAGCTGAGAAAGATACCGCCGTAGCTGTGCTCCCCTGAGCGCTCCACGCATCTAAAGCCAGAAAGAAAATCGCCAAAGTTTAGAGAAAGAAAAGAAAAGAACACTCACACTCGATGGAGGCGTCCTCTCCTCGGCCTCGCAGGTCCGCCGCTTCTTTGGCGTGCAATCCTCATCGTCAAGAGTCCGGATGATCCTCCTCCGAAAGATCGGCTCGGTGTCGTAACGAACCGTGCTGCCGGGCTTGATCCAGTCCCTCCCGAGCTTGCGCTGTGCGATCTCTCTCACGGACTCACCAGTCTCGAGATGGATCAAGTAGTCATGCGCATTGTTGAATCCGGACTTCGCAGCTCCGTGCTTGAGGACGCCCGTCGGCGCCAATCCTTGCGCCTTGCGGCAGGGGCCACAGTTACAGCTGCAAAGAATGGATCGTGAGATGATACCCTAGAAATGAAATGCATGATCTCGGCGATGGAGATGGATCGATCTTACCAAGAATCCACGCAGCCAGGGCCGCAGCCGCCGCGGCACTTGGGACAGACCCAGCGCACGCCCTCCTCCATCTGCTCGTCAAGAATCTCGCCATGGCGATTGGCGAGGCAGCTCCCGCAAAAGCTGATGGGGCAGCGGCTGCAGCACACCTTGTCCTCCACTGTTTTCTGGCGGCACCAGTGGCAAGTAATCCCGTTCGTGGAGTCGTAGAGCCTTCCATGCTGGATCCTCCGCCCGGCATCGCTGCTCCTCTTGATCTTGGAATTTGTCCGGCCACTGCAAACGACGCTGCCGCCGCTACTGCTGCTGTCGCTGCCGCTGCTGGTGGCCCTGCCGATCGAGACGAATGGCTCGTCGTCTTCATCGGAGGAAGAATTGTCGCTCACTGCCATCGTCCCCCCGAAATTTAGACTGTTGGAAAGAAAGAAAGAAAGAATTTTTAGGGTTTATGCGACCACGCGTGGCGCAACGATCATAATACGCACCGTATGGCGTGCAATTCGGAAAAAGGTGAGTGTTACTATGGCAAATTTCACTCACAATATAGTGTTTATGTGGCAGTCTTTTATTAATTTGGCATTAAATGTCATTTGGATGCCTCATGGATACCCCATGAATGCTGGCCCCATGGGTTGATGATATCCTAATATGAATAATGTGCTATACATAGATGCTATATATCATCAAATTTGACCCCATGACATAGGGATTCATTAGGTCATAGGGTTTAAAAGATGCCTGTTTGCCTTAGCATGCTGCTTTAGTGCTTTGTTATTTAGCATGTTTCTTGGTAGCAAATGTGGAAAGTAACTTGGTTTGTTAGTGATTGGTTTCAAATGTTTTTGTGGGCAATGTTGGAAATGGTTTTGATTTACTACTTGATTGCTATTTATGGACTTTCAAGTTCCTACCATAAGTATAGTTCCTTCCCTAGTTCACTTCAAATTTGTGTCACTAAAACCTTTTCTTCCAGGTTTACTAAAAGATGTGGAGGAAAACAAAGTGGATAACCTTTCATTCAATTTTAGTGATTCGGATTATGGTTTAGGTGTGGATAGTGACAATAATGTTGTCCTAGAGGTTTGCTTAATTTCCAGCCTTCTAGATTCATGATTTACATGTTTTTAGCCCTTCTATAATTTTTTGCAATCGAAGGGATTCGGTAGTCCAGCCGCGTTTGGCACCTGGATGCATCTGAAGATCCTCGAGACTAAGACTATTGCTTACCTCGCATGCTATCTTAGAATTTCCAAGGCAATATTGTACAAATACATATAGCTTGTCAATCCAAATTGGAGAGGTGTATATTACAGAGTACCACCCGAAGAGGTACTTCATCACATTCGAACTAACAAAGCCATGAATCAAGGTGGCACAAACTGGGGGATTATCAATTCCCGATCTAGCTATCGAACTAGAGGATATTGGTTTAGCCGACGCCAAATTCGTGAGGCCTTAGCCACTCATGATCCAACTAAGCTGGAACAAAGGCACATGACAAGGATTTGAGGATTTATAGGAACAAAGAGGCTTATGCACTTTGCTATATGGATTGTGAGTATTTTTTCATTTATGCTTTTTTGTTAACATATGTGGTAACATGTTTATTGTAGCATATTGCAAGCTTGTAACTTATGGTTTCTATGTACATGCCATTATTTGCGAAGCAACTCACTATATTGTAGCTTGCAAGCTAGCTACCTCCAAAGAATCTCATGCAATATTCAACACATATGTGTAGGTTGTTTGTCAATTTGAAAGGCCCAAACACATTCAGAGCGACAATGCTCCAGAGCACAATGAGGTTGAGAAGGACATGGTCTATTGTTGGGGTCCTGCAGCTAGGAGCTTCATATATGGGACATCAACATGTAACCAAGTGCTCACAGTGTTAGAGTTTTTCCAAATAAGGACTAAATCAAATTTGTTTTACAACATATAAAGCATTTGTGGAGAGAGCTCTTTGAGCATGGTGTGATTTTATAAACACTTTTTGAGCTTATAGAAGATGTAAGAATTTTTTATGTATCTAATCCATGGCACAACTAGAGTCTATGTTGTGTCTTTACTCTGTACCTCAATAAAGATATTTCACACTGGGTTGCAACCTAGAACCTCTATAAGGTCCGTCTGTATTGATGTGGTGATTACTTTAGACCATCTCATGTTCCTACAAACTTATTTTAACCGATGGAATGAAAGTTTGGGTAAGAATTTTGGTAATGTTACAGAATTCTTTATAAATTGTGCTTTTGTAGGATTATGCCGGCTGTTGGTGGAAAAAATATTAAAGACCTTCTTGGACCATTTCTGTCCAATATCGAAGGTGCAACTCTGTTAGAGGTAATCTTTAGAGCAAGAATTGAACAATTTTTTAAAATCTATTTCGTTGTGCTTGGCTACCTTACAAGTCTTGGCACTGTTCGAAACTAGGCATTTTTAATGCATCAAGAGGGACTCAACTTGGACAAGCAATATCTACTTCATTTGGATCTAACAATAGAGTGTGCAATGGCTGATGTTGCGAGTGTAGATTTACCACTTTATATCAAAAGTGCCTTACTACAGCAACACCAGTGAAGTGACGAGCTTTAAAAAAATTATACTTAGCTATACTTGGAGAAAACTGAGTGTTCTTTAGTGTAAATTTCAAATTTAAATTCAATTCTTGATTTCTTCAATTTTAGGGTTCCCACATTTAGGATTAGGGTTTACACCAAGTCCCACCCA